AGGTAAAGATACTAGAATCGCAAGGCCAGACGAATTATCTGAATAATGTATTGAATCTATTGAACCAAATAGGAATGGTGACTTAAATCTAGCGAAATATGATTAAGATTTATCAGCATGATCGCGAATAAGTTAGTAAGTTTCTTCGATTGAAAATAAATTTAATCGTTAAGTATTATAATAATTACGAAGATATTTAGTATCTTTTGAATTATAAGAGACTGAGTACTTAGTACATACAGATACATAATAAGTTACTTTCTACGTTAACACAATTATTGTGAATACAATAACCACATAGGTAAAAGAGTTAAGTAATTGCCTTTTAATAAACCCGTTTAATTGATAGTTAATTGTTGACATGATAATATAATCATGTAGTAAAATTAACCATCAGTTAACGACTATCAGTTTAGTTCATCTGTTATCGGATAATCGGAAAAGTATTGTCTGGACTTTCTCATAAACTTCAATCCAAGAATGACATCTACAGTTGAAATAGGCGATATATTTTGCAATAAAAGTGTAAAACTGATGTTCTGAAAAAGCCAATGTTCTGTACAAGTACGGTGGTTATTAAATTATTAGAAGCACTTCATAACGATATAACAATTTGTTGTTTAGATCAGTCCGGTTTCTTAAAGGTTGATGGTCGTATCGAAATATACCATTATCGTTCACACTAACCTGGGGAAGGGCAGTCTAAACAGCTCCTCCACAAACTCCTGCATTGTCACACACTGCACTTCTCAGTACTATCCAGACTCGACAATAATGCATTCTGTACTGCCCTTGTGTTACTGTCAGCCCTTACGCAACTGGCTAACGTGTAATTGGATATTTACTTGTGACCGACAACTTATTACGTAACTAACACCGCTGTTATAATGATTATTTTCTTCAAACGTTTACTTCTTGAAAACTTTTCCTTGTCTACAACCTTCAGTCTTAATAATTGTTATAATTCCAACTAAACTAAACAACTAACTTTAATTAGAAGCGTAGTTATAATGATAGCACATTTTAGCAGGCTTACAATTTCGTTCGTTCGTTCGTTTCAGCCGAAAGACGTCCACTGCTGGACAAAGGCCTCCCCTAGGCTTAGAATTTACCATGCAATTTTATTTTAGCCTAGTATAATGATAAATCATTACTTATTTACATATCTGCTACACTGTAAGGCAGTGCATACATTAGGTAGGCTAAGCATTAGTTGAATACTAACGACATTAAGTTATCTAAGTACCCTTTTGGTCTACTTACATATTTTGATAGTTGGAAAGTAAGCAATAAGCATATCATTAAATTCAGCATTTAGTTGAAGTTACGACAATTCTGGTTAGATAATTAGTTATATTTAAGTAGATAAAGCAAATGTTTGTAACTATGACCAGTTAAAAGCACTTCTTTGTGATTACATCCACTGAAATCTGGTGAAAACATCTACTGACTTATGAAACTATCCAACATTTAACTAACCAATTCCTTCATACTTGTCGTCTACTGAAGCATATAACTTTAAAAACTTATTGAAAATAATTGTAATTTTTTCCTCCCTCGTCCAAAGCTACTACTAAGCGCAGTTACCATCACGGGTCGTATTTTGTCCCTCATTATGGATCATGTTTCTTTGAAACTTCAGGATCAAATTTCAAACTACTTACATGCGCTAAGAATAGGGGAGGGGATTAACCAAACTACACCATGGCTGAAATGTTGGGCACTTTACTTTTAATCTTAGGCTGGGTTGCACCATCTTACTTTAACTTCGACAAACGTCAAAAGTCTGTCAAATTCCATCCAAAAAACACCGATTATTATCGTTATAGTTACTGTTAAAGTTAGGTGGTGCAACTCAGCCTTCGATTCGATAAAATGGCATATTTTATATGCGTATGAGAACAGGGCCTGGAACGAAAGACAAACAGTATAAGGTAGGTATTGAAATATCATCAAGCTTTTTTACTATAAACAGAATTTCATGGGAATAAGATCAATCGAGTCCTCCTACAGTGCAAGTTAAAATTGGTTCATTGAGAAAACTCGTTTAAAACACCGGCGTATTTGTACTTTGTACACCTATAGGGCTGGGTGGCACCATCTTACTTTAGCTTTGACAAACGTCAAAAATCTTTCAAACTCCATACAAAAACACCGGTTAACGTTAAAGTTACCGTCAAAGATAGGTGGTGCCACTCTGCCTAAGATTGTGTGTAGGTGGCCATATTGTCTAAGCAAGCGAGTAGCAGGTGCAATTTAGATTCCCTTTACATGGTACGATTTGTATTCGACCTTTTCATTTTCGATAGCAGCGGTGATTCGGACGTGGGCATGTTTATTGCCTTGACGCTTGAGCTTTGACCTTTATTAGAATTCATTATCAACTAAGTGTCTACTGGATATAAGATGTAGTTATAGATCAAATAGGGATATGTGTAAGAAAGTTTTCATCTGCCGTTTTGCCAGTTTTGCTAATATATTTCTTCAAAAGACATTGTGACAATGGTCGTCCCTATTGTGCTAAAATCGCGTCATTAAATTTTGTCACTCAACTGTTTTTACACTGATTCTCTCACTCCATTTATTGATTACATACAAACAATTCTAAGGTTCAATGAGAATCTCCAACTTCTTCATAATTTACATGGCTGTTTCGTTAAAACAAATAGTCTTCGCCAAATGCCAATTCCAGTTTTCTTTCAGACTTGGAAAATTTTCACATGCACAATTGTAAATGTATGAGATAATACATGTGACGTAAGGTGTACGTTGACGGTAAAAACGTGACTATACTCGTAGCTGTTTGAGCATACAGCTGACAACAGCCTTAGTTTGCCTACTACCTAAAAATATCCATAATCTTGGTACCAGTGTTGGCACTAATCAATTAATTTTTTAATCAATTAATTAATTTGATTAATTTTAATCATGATTAAATTAATCCTGATTAAAATAATCATGATTAAAAAAGTAATCATAATCATGATTAATTTGTTAATCATTAATCAATAATCATTAATTTGATTAACTTGATTAACTTCTTAAATGTTCTATCGAAAACAATGTTAAAACATTGAATTCTAATATTAGATGTTTGGTTTTAGGCTACAATTCTATGACAGATCATACCTAGATAAATATAAGGTAACCTAGGCTGCCCCCCGCCCCCTTCCCTCGCTGAAACTTCCGGTGCAGTCTTCTGACCTCCCGTAGGAGGATATCAGTCCACTTCCCCTACCGTTCCAGCACTTACTTGCAACCCCACACTCCCACCACCTGCCCCCCACCCCTAGCCTCCCCTGAAACTTCTGGTACGAAGTCTCCTGCACCTCCCCAACACGCAAAACCTCCTAGCTTAGCAACCCCACCCTTCTATTGAATTGCCCACGCGTGGGCCTCCCCCCGAAACTTCTGGTACGAACTCTCCTGCACCTCCCCAACACGCAAAACCTCCTAGTTTAGCAACCCCACCCTTCTATTGAATTGCCCACGCGTGGGCTTCTCCCCGAAACTTCTGGTACGAAGTCTCCTGCACCTCCCCAACACGCAAAACCTCCTAGCTTAGCAACCCCACCCTTCTATTGAATTGCCCACGCGTAGGCCTCTCCCCGAAACTTCTGTTACGAACTCTCCTGCACCTCCCCAACACACAAAACGTCCTAGTTTAGCAACCCCACCTTTCCGTTGAATTGCCCACGCTTGCGCCTACCTTGGGAGGGGGGGACTTCTCCCCTATCGTCAGCCAGCCCGCTTAACTTTTATCCTGACCCAATTTTGCTGGAGGATACCGGAAGAATAGAAGAAATTGTGAGAAACAAAACTAGTGCGATAAGTGTTTTGAAAATTGACGCAGTTTTTTGGGAAAACGACAGTACAACTCCAGATCCCCCCTTTGCTAGATATTTTATAAGTCGCGGGTACCTTTTCATACACTCCCAACCCTTTTCTTATGAAAATAGTAAATAGTTAATCAAATAATCAAATTAACGATTAATGATTATGATTAATTAATCTTAATCAAAATTTTTGATTAATGATTAACTAATCATAATCAAAAAAGTTTGATTATGATTTTAATCATTAATTTTTAATCATTAATCAGATTAACTTTTTGCCAACACTGCTTGGTACACAGCAGCTATCTAGACGTGCTAGATTTAAAGTAAACATAACCTGTTCTAGAATTTTATTATCATTTATTTAGGTATCATTTTGATTCCAGGAAAACGGGATTTTAAAGCTAATCTGATCAATTCAAAACAACCTGATTATCACTTTCCAACAGGTGAGATACAGGCCGAAAAAATCGCATCAGTGTTGTTGTTGATATTTTTGATAAAATTCCAATAGTGTAAATAGGGAGTTCTGGAACTGCCCCGAAAAATCCTATACGGCGGACAGACGTAGCCTTTGAAGTGTTTCGATCTACTTAAACGGTGTTGCTTATTTTTACTTATAACTATAGACAAAGCCTTAGCTATGAGTGTTAATCTGCGCTTATGTATATAATCTGTAAACAGTGTTCTAAATGGAAAAGCGTCACTGGTAAATTAGCGGCTGCATGAAAGAGCCGAGCCTTGCGTCACTCATCGCCGGACCATTCAAACACCTGCCATTCAACTCACAATTGCTATAACAGACGTTGGACAATCATTATGTTCGCTTTTTCTGTTTTTGTCCTCGTTTTATCGCGTAATTACATACCTGCCCCGGCACTTAGAACAATTCGTTGTATTTAAATAGCCACTTATTAAAAGGCACGACGGAATGAGAAATTGCAAATTAAACAAATGAAAGTCACACCTTTAAAGTCCAACTTGATCCAAATATGCAATGCGTATACATTTGCGACTGTCTAACGCCGCTCGTAAACGTATCAAGTCAACCTTCAGAAGGTTTCACCGCGCAATTATTCCATTATCACTACACGTAATAATGTCAACAAACAAACAGAACGCCGTGTTAGATACGACGGAAAATAAAGGAAAATTCAAACTCACCGTAGTCCAACACAGGCACAGTGGCTACACTACAAATCCCACAAAAACTGGTCCACTGCAAACTTTTATTTCACTTGGTTTTCTCGTTGGGAAAACTAATGAATTATCGTATGGTACTGAGTGAAATGGGCAAGCGACTGCGGGACGTTCGTCGGCTCGCTAAGTCGGGGCGCTACTAACCGCTAGCCGCGACTCGCGCGCCGCTCCGTTGGTCCCCGAGCCGGATAAATTCAGCGGCACAGTTGCGCCGGCGCAGGGGACCTGACCGATTCGCTGCGCCAACCGCTACAGTTTAAACAGATGTCACAGATACTTTGCAATACTTGATGTGAAAATCGCATCATAGTTCTCAGATTTCAAAATAAGTCTGCAATAAAATCTAACAACCTTTTTATATGCGCCACAGATAAAAAAAATTCAAAGCCATAAAAAGTAAAAAACTACAAAGAAGTCACGTTGACTTGAATGACATAGACGTCAACAATTGACGTTGTAACTGACTCGAACGTCATAATATTTATTTAATAAAAATGGAAAAGAAACGCACTCCATTCACATCAACTAGTCCTCAGCAAGGAAACAGCAAGTCGCCGACTTCTACTCAGTCTCCGAGCAAATCTCCCAAATCCCCAAACAGCACCAAGTCTCCTGACAAGTCTTCGACTAAGTCTCCAAGCAAGTCTCCTAAACCTTCAAAAAAAGCAAAAGCAGACTGCATAACGTCGCTTAGTTCTTCTGGAACTCAATATTTTAGGAGGGAAAGTCATGGGGACGCCTTTGAAAGGATTAATAGCGATCAATACGTGGGTATGTCGGAGTCAATGTCTGGGTCATCGTTAACTTTCAAGTGCGTCCATGGCCCTGAGGGAAAGCAGTACACCGATAAAGGACTGTTGAAAAGGAACCTCTTGAAAGAACTGGACCCTATTCCTGTTGGTTAGTACCGTTGCTAATCATTCTCCGTCATCACCAATCAACTAAATTTACCAAACCATTTATCCATTTGTCCATAGGAAATTAAAAACACAAGTATCAATTAAGTTTCGTATCAGTTTTCTTCGATCTTGCGGAACAGGATTAACCTGCACAGTTTTCTAAACATCAATACACATAGAAACTGTTGACCGTTAGGAAAAACATTGCCACTTTTTAGGACATTAACTAGATAATACTAACTTGCACACGCACTGTTACTGGCGACTGGAGGATAACTGGAGATCAACACTGAGCAGACTTGTGGGTTTTAAGAATAATGAAATTTGATTCGTCTAAGCTAAAGCCTGAAACCTTAGTAAAATTGGATCTTGATCCATATTATTTTCGACTGTTTCTACGTAATGTGAAGAAGCCACCGCCAGGTTTTGCGTAAATTATCACTGCGTCATGACGTATGTTTCGATTTATTGGGCACAAAATGTATTTTTCTGTAAATCCAAAAATACTGAGCTTGGATTTCTCGAACAGTTGAATACCTAACTTTTAAAAATTACTTTCTATATAGAAGTCAGCTGTCTATAGATGGTTTACCAAACAATTAATGCTTTGTCTAATTAACTAGGTCTTGTTTTAATGAAAGTTTGATATCATTTGGATCGATTGTCCTTCAATGAACGCCGCTTTCTTCGCCCACTCCACTTACCTTTTGATGAAGTGTGACAGAGTGTGCTCAATAAGGAGGTGCAATAAAACAGCGCTGGTCTAATAATTTCATCATCTGCATACAGAATTAGAAGGAAAGTTAAAGTCTGCGTTAATTAATTACTGATTCGGATTTAAATCTCATGTTGTGTTATTTTATTTCTGTTATGTGTAGGCATTTCACTTAGTACTAAATATACTGCTGCCTGTCTGTTTTTTTACGATTTTACGCCTAACTGCTACTGAACCAATTTTGGTATTAACTTTGAAGCTTGGGAAAGGACTTATGGTTACCATTTTGTGCAAGCAACGTGTCCCCTGATGGTTTCTTCAACATTAATATGTAAAACAGTTTGATTTAAATGGTCAACATTCTTGTATACGTTTACGAGCCATAGGTATATGTTTATGAGCTTCTTTCACTTTTCAGACCAGAAGTGGACAGAGCAATGCCCTCCAGCATACGGCTGGGACATAGCCAGGAAACTGGAGTTCCTGGTCACCGACCCTGTAGGGGTTGACCAAGCCTTCCGCCTGGACACCCATCTCCGGGATTTAGCGAGAGTCTCTTACTATGGATATGTATCCTTTTGAAAATTCCATATAAAATAAATATTGTACTCGATAATCCGTCAGGATTTGAACTAGTTAGAAATTAATGTTTGTGACGCGTTTGACTGGCGTTTGAGAAAAAGTAGCTTTTTGTCAGCTTTTACGTAAAGGCGCTTCAGCTTCGTTGTCATGAACTACTTAGGTACTTACCTGTCAAAACGATACCACGAAACCACGATACGGATTTGTCAAAAAGCTAATTTACGTTCGTCGTCCAATCGCTTAGTCGCAGTTGAATTTTTTTAGCGCAATCGGGGCCCTGCTCATCGACATGCATTGGCAATCAAATAGCTTATGTATGATTGCCTGCAGAAAACGTATACCTATTACCAATAGCAAAATATCTTCCTATAAAATATCCAGAAAATAGACTTATTAGGCAGCGTGTGCACAGTCGTGGATTACTTAGTGGAGACGTACCATAAGAAACCTCATCTAAAGGAACACTTGTTGAAGCTGCTCATCAACATGGAAAGGCCTGTACTCCTGAACGTAGCCTCCGATGTGATCAGTTACTTTGATACTTTGAGGTCTTATATTGGATTTTTGGGTGAGTCTTTATTAGATCCGTATTCTAGATCTAATCTACATCTGATACACCTCGTTCTTAAACTGTTAAATATTCATATAAATTGCGGGTCAATTTAAATTAATCATAGCCTAGAAATGTAGATATCTTCCACCATATCGGACAAATTTAACCAATCCTTTTTTTATGTTGAAATCCAAGGATGGTTTTAACGGCGAGAAAAATTCGAATAATTTCCGGGAATACACTAAAAACAGTCTAACAGCCTTTTTGACGCGGGCGAAGCCGCGGGCGAAAAGCTACTTAGTTCCTTTATAATTTTGAGTGTAGTTTTGGATTGCCTATCTAGTAAATATACCTAGTAGGTACTCGTATACTCGTAGTATGATGTCTAGTTTATTTGTAGAGCTGTTTAGAGCATTTTTGTAATGCGTTGATATTGAAGGCTTTATTATGGAGTTAGTACAATAATTATAGAGGTTTTCTAGTTATTATGTGCTATGGAGTTCGTTCGTACCTAGATCTTGTACTATTTATTTATAACGTACGTGATCTAATCCATATCTACCACAACGAGGGCAATGCCACTGACACTCGAGGGATTTTACTGCCATTATGAAGTCGTTATGGTTATGGACCAAACGCGTGCCTGACATGTCTGAATGCACTGTCCCACTTTTGATTGAGTTCGATTGTCTAACATGCTACTTATACAGGGTGTCCGAGAAACTAAATGGAAGGTTTCGGGAGATAGCTCATCCAGAGTTTTTTGAAATACACTAGGTATCTAATAGACCGAACGAACAATGTTCAAGTCACAGATTAGAATTTAGAATCTTAGAATTTAGCGAATACGCGACAACGTAAGTAGAGGTATAATTTTAAAGAGGTAAAACAGCCCTTAATTAATATCAATCAGACATCGCATTTGATTAACCTTTGGTTATCCAGGACCTAAAGACTTAGAGGCAAAAACAAAAACTATTTTCAGTTACTAAACAAAATTAGTACTTGTTTAATACAAATTCAACTGTTGCTCCAAAACCTACCAAAGCAAAGTCATATTATGTAAATGCTAGTTATTCTATATTTTAATAAACATTATTCACAGGCCGCTATGAATTTGTGAAAATATTATCTTAATCGAAAAACTGTTGTGTCATTGGACTTTATTAGCTGCAAATTGACTCCTTCTGTCGATAGACTTCTTATGTCATTAGAATTAATTGCTAAGTTACTTTGGAGTTATGTAAGCAACTTACAAGAAAGTGATATAGACTCGCTTTATATCTTCAAATGACATACGATATTATTAGTCATCAAATTGTTTTTAATAAACGAAATGTGAAAGCTATTAATTGATCCATGATTGGACATGAGGCCGTATAATAAAAATAAATAAATATCCTATTCATCTCGAAAAAAATACACGAATCACCAATAATTGACGTGACATATTTTATCAGCGAAAGAAATAGGGGTACTCGTACTAATGACTGTCTTAAGAGCGTTTACGTCTAGCGTGGCATGTCAAGTTTAGGTAATTTCGATGCTAGTTTTATTCACACTAAAATAATTATGACTGTGTGCGTGTTCTCACACTCTATAGTCAAACCAAAATACTTTGATCCACCATGACCCACTAGCTGCGGGGGCAGCTAGTGGGTTATGTGGGGTTCTTCCTACCAGAAGGTGGGTAGTCCCTACACCCACTAAAACCTGACTGTTTCTGCCATGATCCATATGAGTGATATGAGGGAACGCGGGACATCGCCATTGGCTGTTGCCTGTAGCATTCGTCCTTAGCCGCCACCAGACACCTCCATGTCTAGCGACCGAGGCCTGTTAAGAAGTGACAGTTGGAGACCATAAGCTGTCCTCTTGCGCCCAGGGTGTCGGCGGCGGATAACCGGAGTGTCGGCCTCTCGCTCCCCCTTTCCACTGCTGCTTTCTGTGAAAGAACACTTTCACAGAAAGTAAGCACACTATACCATAAGATTATTTGTCTCATCATATATTTTATACTAATGTAGATATTGTTCCCGAAAGCGAGCGGGTTCATTCCGTACCTGTACGCTTCATGCGTTCTCTAGCAAAAGCTGAAAATCAGTGTTCTGCCCTTTTGAGGGTAGTGTTTATACTGAGATCTTTGCTTTTTGCATCGCTGCGGCACACATCACTCTGACGCAGGGAACTATTTGAAACGCTAGTCATCTTTATTTTATGTTGTTTTGTCACTTCTGTTATGTTGCAACTGTTGAAATTATTACTAACCTGTGTAACAAAATACCAGTGGTGTCACCTAGTGTGTTTCTTGACTAACTAACTTTATTTCGATATTGAATTGAATTTCAATAGCAACTATACATAATATGTGTGTTAAAAGCATTAAAAAAGAAATTTTCTCAGATAACTATTTGCCCAAGGATCTATGCTATAGGATATAAATGTTTGTTAAATCGTTTTCACAGTATTTTTATAAAAATTTCAGCTTGTAAACTGACGCTAAAGTGGAAATTTACAAAACCTGTGTGGACTTATCTTGATAGAATTCTTAAATGCTAAACTAATCGCAATATTTTCTCAATTAACTATTTAGACGACGAAATTGCCTAACTATTTATGTCTATAACATATTTGTAGTATTACTGGTTAATGATTGTAACGAGTTGAAAAAGTACTGTTTTTGCGCCAAACGGCGTAAACGCTCTTAACACGAAATATCATTTATAAACATAAAATCACATTATTTTGCGATTTTAAATACACAAACAAAATTGCGCCTAAAAAGAAAGGCACCTGGATGCGAGCGGCGCAGGACCGGTCTTTGTGGAAATCCTTGGGGGAGGCCTTTGTCCAGCAGTAGACGTCTTTCGGCTGAAACGAACGAACGAATGAAACAATAATTTGTACCTAAGACGCGAGTAGTTAAGTACTTACTGTGTTCTGGTCGTTGGAATTAGGTTAGGAGGAAAACTAGCGGCACCATAGGTTCCTTTTCGACACTTAAGTGGGATAAAGAGTTGATGATAATGACGTTGATCTCCACATCATGAGTGCCTTACATAGAAATCATGTTTTAGTAGATGTTTACGTCACGCAACTTATTTTCGCTGTTAGACTTAGACCATGGCTCTACATTAGACATTAGCTTTACTTAAACACTTTTGTAATTCGTTTTATTATTTTACACATCTGATTTCTGAGTATTGACATGGTCCTTGCCCCTTGGTTCACCATGATTTTACCAACTTCGACTGCTGCACTGGTAAGGATAGGGACCTGGTAAACAGCAGACGTGTGCGTGGAGTGACGTGGTAATTTTATGGCACCAGCTGCTTACTAGAAGCCATACATACATATACATTGTTCTACTACAGCTAAGCGTTTACTGAAAGAATGCTTTTGGGTTAATCCTGCAGGGTATTTGCTTATGCGTTTAGAAGACGAAGATCTGTTTAGTCTGGTCAGCAATGCTCTGATCTGGCAGCTGTCTGTGCCTGACTGCATCCGAGGCCACGGCTGTGCTCATCTAAGGCACGTTCTGGCCGCTGCTCCGCCGGTTCTTTACCAAACCACGGTGAGGATGCTGGCAGTAGCCAACGCGCACAGATTCCCCACTTTCTTGGAAATTGCTTTGCTCCTCGCTTGTGACTCAGTGGATAACTGTGAGTAGATAATAAATTATTGTTACAATTAATTTGACACTAACAGCATAACAAAAAGTAACCAACAATTTCCAATGTGCCAACACGTGGACAATAGGGACATACATCAATAACAGACTTCATTTTAGACAGCACAGTCTCTAATTATTTTGTAATATTTTAATAAAATATCAAAGAATCTTTATTGACAGCGCAATCATACACTAATTATTACGACAAAATATATGTTTCGTTCTCAGGCATCGAAATGATGAAGGAGAATATAATAGAAAACATATTTTACCGCTTTAACCCGTACTTTCCTGAACGAGAATTGCCAATATACGATGTTAATCCAGCAGATCCTCAGGATATGAATGTAAAACTGGGTTAGTATCTAGAGGGGTAATTTCATCCAATTCCTTACCTCAAATCCGTAGGAATTTTACATCAAGCATAGCGCTTTGTTTCAGGTGATAGCACTGTTAATATAAGCACAACCCTTTCTTTACTCTTGGTGCTAGTTAAGACGACGAGGGAATATGTAGAACAGAACCCAGCCTACAGAAAGATTCTTCCATGTCCAGATATTTACAGTCAAAGGTACGTAGTTACTTTAATACCCAAATGTTTTTTTTTTTATATAAATATCCTTGGACATTATACACTGCGCTTCTAGTCCCAAACTAAGCAAAGCTTGTACTATGGGTACTAGACAACGGATATAAACATACTTGAATACTTTTTTTTTGTAAATACATACTTATTATACATAGAAAACGCCCAGTCCAATACAAACAAATATGTTCATGCACACAAATGTTTGTACTGTGCGGGAATCGAACCCGCAACCTCCGGAATAGTAGTCCGTTTCGAACCACTACACCAAACGGCCGACTACACCGTTTTACCCGATAACGTAGTTCTATCTTTACTTTTCTCCACATAGAGTAGAAATCAAGATATTGTATTTGAAAGTAAGAAAGAAATATATTTATTTGATGCAAGTACATCCTTTGTATTAATATCAATTTGTCATGTTACTTTGTTATACTGAAATGATCACCTGTTTTAAAGGCCAATACATTATTGATTAGATATACCAATTAATGGGCTCTAGGTGTTTCTTTACGAGATCGAACTAGAAATGAGGAGATCCGAAAAAGAACTAAGGTCGCTGACATAGCCCAACAGATTAGCAAGCTGCAATGGGCAGAGCATATAGTACGCAGAACTGACGGTCGATGGGGCAGCAAGGTTCTGGAATGGAGGCCACGTACCGGAAAGGGCGTAGGACGTCCACCCACAAGGTGGACCGACGATCTCATAAAGGTAGCGGAAAGTTGCTGGATGCAGGCCGCCACCAACCGGCCATTGTGGAAATCATTGGGGGAGGCCTATGTTCAGCTATGGCTGAAATGATGATGATGATGATACCAATTATTAACTTATTTTTATTAAGATGTTTTATCTGGGCGTATCGCTACGAGTGCCGCGCGCGGGAGCATCAGAGTGAGAGGACCACACTGACGGTGTTCGCTGCCGTTCTTCTTGACATCTTTAGAGAACGCCTGAATGCATTCTCCATGATTCTTATGGGAGGTAAAATCATTAGTAACTGGGTAAATGTTTACTTACTTACTTACAATTTCATGATAATTAATTACTGGCTCTCATGCGTTAAGGGTTTTAGATATTTCTCCGGAAATGCTAAACCTACTGATTGGACTTCATTTGTAGTTCATCTGTAGATCCTAATTCCTAACTGTAGGTATTTAATTTTTAGTTAAATTATGGTCGTAATGTTCTGTAACTAGTTAGATATTGTTATTTTATCAATTTAGGAAAAAATCACGTAAAATTTAAGAAGAGTCTAAAAATCAGATACTAGTTAGTTATTTGTAGACAGATGATAATCTACTACAACGTTCCTCGTTGTAGATGTTTAATTGTAAAATATGTTCCTGTCATTGTGTTAGCGTCATGATGAACGTGTACAATTATTCTTATCTCCCAACACTACAAACGTTGTCTTTAACACAGTTTTCATCAGTACTTATACTTTCGAATGGTGCTAATTTGTTGCGTCAACTGTCTTGGATGATCACTTTACATAAATGCCATTTGCTTAGGCAATCGAAGTAGGGACGAATTTTGCTTACTTTCCATAACTAGACTAAGAGCTGGTGAACGCCAGACCTACGTCATTTTATAAAAGCTGAAAGTTTGTCAGCGTATGCTTCCAATATAAGTAGGATAGAATGTTGGTGAATCATGAAGTTTGGGTCATCGTGGCTTTGGCAGCAATCCAAAAAAAACTGTCTGGCAAGGTGTTGGAACTGTAAAAACTGTCTGGCTTATGTGGAAACAGGGGTGACCCCTCCGGTGCCGCTCCCATACCTCAGGCACTGGCCGAGGTAAGGGCTAGACCTAGTTCTTAGATTAATAAAACCTAGATGGATAGTCTTCATACAAACGCTTCGTCAAGAGTGAGGCAAAAATCTTATGTCATTAGTGTCAATTTTGTTGGGGAGTGTAGACAGTGAAGGCGATTTTCCCGAAAGTAGGGAAATTTTTAATACGTTTTTAATTATTTTATAACTAACAAAAACAAAACGCATCATGTACTTACTTATTTATTGAATTCAAAGTACCGACCTAATTACAATAAGATAAATCGACTGAAAATTCTCGATTTCATAAAAAAGGAAGTGTATTTGTGCGGCGAACAATTGGGAAATAAATTTTCTTGTTACTGGTATCATTCCCGTATTTAATTTTTGAAAGCCAAATTCAAGCAAAATACGCGTCGAATCGTAGTACTTACTTATGAAATGTAACACTGGTCACTTTCTTTAGTTTTTCTGATGTATTTAGACACCCTTTCACAGCACAAACCGTCTTAATTAATTAAAAGTCGTCGGACGTGTTTACCAATTTTTCACTTTGACAGTTCATGTGACGTTTACGAGTAAGCCATTCTGGCTTACTAAAATCTGCCTCACCTTTCGTGCACTGACTATCTATCTAGGTTTTATTAATCTAAGACCTAGTTACATATTTTCTATTTTTACTGCAAACCAGATGTAATGTCGCTGTCCGTATTGACCGAGCTCCCGCCCAGGCCGGACTGGATCCAGACGGTCAACTTCAACACCAGTCAGCAGGACGTCCAGTTCAAGAAGATCCTTATCAACCTATGCGTGAACTTTATCAAAATTTTCCCAAGCAATATTTATGTAAGTCCATCATGGGACTGGTTGTTATGATCTCACTAAGGTCGTCTTTCTTCTATCATTCAAGACTTTACATAGTTTGTTGTGTTAAATTCTTACAACTCACGAAGGCGAGAGCTTTACTTGTATGTGTACGTGTACGTACATGCACATCACATAACGTGGTGTAATGTCTAGTCTATCAAATCTTTTGAAAAAGAAACAGAGCGAGCCACCACACATGTACCTAAAGGTCACTCACCTTCGTGAATTGCAACAACTATTTCTTATTTTGAGCTGAAACTTTCCTGTTCTGTGCTTTTGTGAAATTTGATGATCCAAATTAGTAGAGTTCAATTAGATAGCCCTCTTTCATGTAGTTTATAAAGAACATGATCATCTTTTTCAGGTTGTTAAAAGAGTTCAGACTCCAGTACTCCAGAATTGTCAATAAATAAGTTTTTTTTGGGTCAATCTTTCTAATCGCCAAAACTAAACATTATTCGAATATTCTAGATGGTGGAATCCCGACTCTGGCTCATGGGTCTAATGTACCTGATAGACCCTGGACTCTGCTACCTCAGGGCGAGGTGGTCCCCTGCCCTCTTTGCGGAGTTACGGAAAACTGCCCTCCAGGCGTTGGTGTGTGTGTTGCCATACACACCTACAAAACTAGCAGGGGATTACGGTTTAACCAGGAGGTAATAGTAGGTTAAGATATTTAGAATTTATCTTTACATCAGGCAGGATAAGGAAAATTTTAAAAGATTCTACAGGTATTATTAATAAGTTTTCATCTAAAACGTCAACCTCTAAAAATTACTTAAATTAGTATACAGACTTAAACGGGGGCAAGATTCCTTTTTGATACAACCTACTTATGTTATCCGTCTAGAAATTGTCTATCGTCAGTTTTCTAAAAAAAGACTGTCTGTAAACTAAGCAATTTCCTAGTTTTTCGCTAAAAATTAGCTCGGAATTGCCTTGAGCGCAGCAGGGATCGTGGCGTCGCTTCGTGGGTTCGATTCCCAATCGCGGAACTTTCTAAATTATTACCGGTATCTGAAAGCTTTGAAATAAGGGAAATAAGTAGTTAAATTGAAAATTGTCTGGCTGACACAAATCTGGCTAAATAGGCCCATTTCCCAAAGGGTGATGTGGTACATCGAGTGGTATTCCGAGAGTCCGTACGAGCTGCCGGTGCTGTATTGGTGCGTCCGACTGCTGCACGTCATCATCAGCAACAGAGACCCGGCAGACCAGAGAACCTCTCTGCGGGACCTCTTCGATACTCACGGGGTTATAATTATCATACGTAATATTATTCTTCTGTGTTTTCAAGTATTAAGTCACAATCACTCATTTATTAGTAGTAAAACAATACTTATAATAATGCGTATTATAGTCATCCCATCTCAGAACTATGTATTTGGCTATTTGTATGGATATTGTAGATGCTAGTCTCGCTAGTTACGACACTGATTCAGGTTTAAGAATTTTATGTCTTAATTCTTACATCATAATTTTTAAGATATTAATACCTACACGTTATAACTTGTGTAATGATATAAGTAGGGCATGTGGGATGTATGTGATTGGCGGATGCTATTCAATTATACTCTTCGTTGCTCATATGTGACCACGCCATCATACTATGGTTCTATGGGCAAGTCCCCCTCATTCACCCGAGCCCTGTTATAATGTGGAAACACCCTTATTCGATGGACTTGTCCTTAAGGTACGGTAGTTAGGAAATCCATTGCAATCAGACATAAAAGCACGTCGCTATCCACTAGAAAAGGCGTTTAATTTCCAGATCTCTGCTACACGCTGCTGGAGTGCAAGACGCCTCCTGTGGAAAAGAGCCAGCTGATCATCGCTCTCTGTCTGCGCCTGCTCACACACGCGGTGGACGTGAACAAGCGACTGACGTGCTGCGTGTACCCCAGCATCAAGTGGCCTCACGCCATCAACGCCCTCATCAAGAAGATGCTGGACTCTGTTCTGTTCTCGCTTGACAAGCACTTCATTGTGAATGATAGGTTCGCAATTTGATTAACGGGTTTTAATTAAGTAATTTCCTTAAGACACCAAAATGGACTGTTTCTTAAAAATCGGATGCGCACTTTCTAGCAAGCAGGTCTATACTGGAAACTCAGCATCAAATCGGGCTCTGAAGTCGATCCTCAACTTCAAAAACCTCCTATGTTCTTCGGATTAATTTCGTTGTTGGTCCATTGACAGTTTAAATTATCCTGGGACAAACTGGGTCTTTACTGGATAGGTTTTTAATTCACTGTTACAGATGGCTGGTTGCGTTGTTAAACCTCATCTGGGAAGGAATTATTTGGAGATCCGACTACAGGGCCATATTCATATCAAACAACGGGATTTACAAACTTTTAGACTTGATTTCTGTGAGTATTGTTTTTAATAAAAACTTTTTATTGGCTTGTACTTTATCCCCCGACATGACGCGCATCCAAATGAGCCTACAATCTTCGGAGTTTGTTAATTTATTCAAGAATCTAAATATTGGGAGTGTTTGGACGTTTATCATCAAATATTACTCTGTCCTCTAGTAAGATGGCTTAAAAAGTAAAAAAATAATAAAATTATCTTCAAAGACCATCAATACAAATAACTCCTTATAAGAAGCTTAAGCCTGACGCAAATGTTATAATCTATCTACATTTATCAATTACCGAGACCCATAATGTCACTGTTACAAATAACAATGTAAGTATAATTTGAATAGCTGTGTCCACAACCGGTAGGTATTACTTTCACTTAGCGTTGTAAAATGGGACAATAGAAACAATGTTCATCGATAAATTCATAGTAGATTCTGTACGCGGTAATAATATTGGGGACTTAGGTAATGTCAAAGTTATTTATAGCACTGCAGTTAAACTGAGTAGATTCCTGTGATGTTTTTGTAACGTCAAACTCACCAAGACTTGAAATGCTGTGAACAAGTTCAAATGATAGCTCGACTCTACACAACTAAGTAAATAAGAACTTGTTAGTTAGTCTTAGTAGTCGCTGTGTAAATCCTTGGGAGAGATCCATTTTTCAGCCAAATGACGTCCACGGCTGGACAGTGGACGCTCTTTGGTTGAAACGAACGATAAGCTCGTTCGTTCAGGATTTAAATAAGATCAAGACGTGGGTATTGACTATGTAGATAGGCACCAGCTTGCTGCCTGAAAACGAAAATAAATGGGAAATTTCACGTCAAGCGGACAACCAAAAGTCCTAAGTCCATGGTGTCCGCTTCACGTGAAACGCCCTAAATTAAATGTAAAGCAGTAAAGCTGTAGGTAGACGATTAACTTGGATCACGGAATTTTGTATTCTATGATCCAATTCTCTTAATCAATTGAGAAAAGGCCCGCAGCATCGGACGCCATCGTGACTTCCTCCTTCGACTGTTCAATTGGATTAATGTCCCTAGTTAAATTCGTTCTACTGTCCATCTTTGTTTATCCGTGACCGAGCCGTATTTATTTTACCCGTTATTGTATCGTTCAGTTTTCTAACGTCGTAAATTATTATTATTTACTGCCGGACTTTTTCCGTATTTGTGTGAACAGATCGTGTAAAAACGTTAATTATTTTTTGTTTCGCACAGTGCAATCCATTTAATAATGTCGTTGTTAATGCACCAAATTGTGTATTATAGTTTAACAGTTAGCATTAACAGTAGGCTACTTACATCAGTAAAGTAGGTACGAGGCAAATTAATCATCTTAGAAACGCATTGACGTGTTGCTTGTAGGTAAAGTCGACTGCACATGCGAGTATTTGGTACCTACTATACGATTACGAGTTGTTTGTTCATGGTTGAGGTACGATTTTGTAGCAATATCGTACCTATTAGGTACATCTAAATAATAAATAATAAGATCCCACACTGCTAGCTTGATGTGCCAGTGTTAAGTGTGATTTGTTTTCAAATGCCACACTGCTAGTGTCAAGTGTGCTCTGTTTACTTCGCAGTTCGCACGCGATCTACGTACGCCTCATTAAACTTTCCAGATGACAAGGGCTCCAGTCCAGTGCATCGCGTTGGCGATGTTATGCGACGTAGCATGCGCGGGCGACGCGGTTGGCCAGCTCGTGTCTTGGCGAGCCACCATGGGCGCTAGTCATGCCGTGAGTATGTTAGGAACCCATAGAATAGCCTTCTGAAAGGATACCAATGAGAGGAAAGTAGAGTCACTTGCGTATTACCTTTATCTTAGATTATTTTCACCGTAAAAATGTCAACCATTTTGCACTGGTCCAGTCTTTATACTAGTATCCTTGCTCATCATCCGGGCCGTTTCAGAAAAAAAGAGCAATTGATTGACAAATCTCTAAAATAATACCGTAATCGTAAGTAGATAAATTACCTACTGCGACTCCTGGATCGCACACATCGCGATTAACATTCGGGCGACAGCGGAGCGAAGTCTAGCGACTAAACTATGCAAAAGAACACCTAAGTACTACACAGTAAGTATACTTACGCGAATACTTGGCTACAAACATAGCGATATAGCGTGAATCTTCGGGTTATCGTGATGTGTGTGACCCAGGGATAAGAAAAACCTTTTGATAATCATTACTTTGACAGAATCCGATGACGGTAAAGCGAGGGGCGACGATCGCTACCCTGCTGGCTGCCATATTTAGAGACGAATGCCACCGGACCGGTGTCCGTCTAAATGAAAATGGAATAATACAAGGTTAGTTACCATATTAGTACGCCGCCTAATAGAGACATGACGGCCATTTAGATGTTTTCGATCTTCAGAATCTGTCGAGTTTTAAGTTCAAGGACCTTGTAATAAATAACTACCTACTTATGGTACTTAGTATTTTACAAATATGTACTTAATTAGTTAAATAAAAGTAAAACTAGGCCGAAAAGTGTGTTGCCCCTTCGGAAGAAGCTGTCGGGGCTTAATTATACGTACATACATATTTATTTCTATGTAATTCCTACCATTTATTTAAAATGGATACCTATCTGTTTAGGTCTACCGTACTTTCACCCTAGGGGTTTGGCGCAAAACAAAAAAAAAACATTAATTTCACACCTCTACATAGTAGCAATATCGATAAACGACATACCTACATTCGACAAGTCAATGTTAACCCTTTCAGCACAGTAGTTATTTTTAGTTGGTTACTAGACAGTTTGCTCAATTTAAATATATTTTTGTTGAGCCAAAGTTGCCCCCTAGAGCTAAAGTAAATCGCAATTTATTAAATATACTAGCTTTGGTCGCCCGCTACGCGGGCTACAAAAGCTAGATCTGCGATGCTGGCCGCTCCGGGCTTCGCCCTACGCGGCGCTCGGCCTGCGGCCTCGCATTCGGAGCTCGGCCTTCGGCCTCGCAAAAATTACACGGGGCTAGTTTTTGTTTGTCGCGGTGCTCTTGTGCTTTTTTGACGCAACACAAGTAAATCTATGGGTACTGTGGGGATTTGAACCATCGCTCGGCCTTCGGCCTCGCCTTTCTGTCTGTCACTGGGCTCTAGTCCTTTTTTGACGCATTAAAAATAAATCTATGGCGGCTCTCGGGCTTTAAACTATCGCTCGGCCTTCGGCCTCGCCTTTTTCTACGTTAGCTAAGCCCCCCTGCATACAATTTGTATGGAGAATTTAGTCCCTTTAGGTAAACGGGTGAACGCTTGACGGCCATCTTGGATTTCCAAAATTTTGCATTTTTCCCTTAATCTGGACCATTTTCCGCGCCGAACCCCATTTTTACTTTTTTTCTAACTTAACCCAATCCCGTGAAACAATTCCTTAAAACCACCCATGTCCCAAAATTTTGAGTTTCCGTAACTCCCAGTGTTGCCAGGTCATCGAGCTAAAAATGGTCAAATGTCATTAGTTTGACCTATTTGCAGGAGGCGTCATCCAAATTTCTGACCGAAAGTCGTTATTTCTATTTTTTACATTTTTGGACCAAATCTCCCAAAGTATGGCAACACTGGAAATTTTAGTTTTCCAAAACGATACTTCTTGACAAACTACGTAATCGCTCCATACAACCCGACTTTCCCAAATGTTGCCAACTGCCCGAAAAATGCATTTGAAAAATCAGAAATCTGAAACTTTTTACAAAATGGCCGCCCGCTCAGCCGCCATCTTGATTTTCCATGATTTCGGATTTTTCCCATAGTCTGGGTCGTATAACCGACCAAACCCCATTTTCAGATTTTCCCTGCTATATCTCCTTCTGTCCGTCCTTAACTTTAAAGACACCCATGTCGAAAAAAATACTTTTCCCCATAGCTCTCAGTGTTGCCAGGTGATCGAGATGAAAATGGTCAAATGTCATTTGCACGACCCCTTTGCAGGAGGCGTCGTCCAAATTTTTGACCGGAAGTCGTTATTTCTACTTTCGACATTTTTGGACCAAATCTCCTAAGGTATGGCAACACTGGAGAAATTTCTTCACCCAAGCGAAACCCCTTGACAAGACACACAACCGCCTCATACAACTCGACTTTCCAAAATGTTGCCATGTCTCCGAAAAATGAATTTCAAAAATTCGAAAATTTTCAACTTTTTACAAAATGGCCGCACACGCCGCCGCCATCTTGATTTTCTGACATTTCGGATTTTTCCCATAATCTGGGTCGTATATCCGACCAAACGTCATTTTTATTTTTTTTCTGCCATTATTCTTTCTGTCCGTCACTAACTTTAAAGACACCCATGTCGCAAAAAAAACTTTTCCCCGTAACTTTCAGTGTTGCCAGACTTTTTTCATAAAAATGGTGAAATGTCATTCGGGTCTCCAAATGTCACCAGACTGCATTCCAAGTTTATGGAATTTTTGGAAATTTCCATTTTCTACTATCCGGGGCCGTGGTGGAAAATTTTCTTCCAAAATGGTAGTTTTTTCCGATTCATGGCAACACTCAAGAAACAGACCAACAATCGCCTGGAACATTGGACCCCACTCCGGTGTCGCCATCTGCCGGAAAATTGGTACCAAAGTTTGAGAATTTTTTGATCGCAACAAAATGGCCGACGGCTCAGCCGCCATCTTGTTTTTTGATAATCTGTAAATGTGGCTCTTAAGAAGACTATACATGTCACAAATACCTAAAAGAAATTTTCAAAAACAATTGCGCATCTCGGAGTGACACCTCCCTAAAAACACCCCGAAATCGCATTTTCAATCCAAGATGGCGGCGCGGCCATTTTGTTTTTCCGTTTTTTTCTCAATTTTTTTAACACATCTTAGCAACCTCAACAAACTCCCAAAAAAGAAAAAATTCAGGATGAAAAACAAAAAAGTTGTTGTCTTAAAAAATGCCGCCATTTTGTTTTTTGGTTCAAAAAATGTAGTAAAGCTGGCAGTCGAAAAATCTAGTTTAAAACAAACACCAAAAATTTTACCCCTCTCCCCTCTAAATACCCCAAAAATACCCCTGATCAGTCAGTCAGTGAGTGAGTCAGTGGTAATCGAGCTTTATATAATATAGATTTTTGTTGTGCCAAAGTTATCCTCTAGAGCTAAAGTAAATCGCATGTACGGATAATTACGTACCAATTTTGGAAAGAAGTGAAGTTCTTAGTTCTGACAAAAGGATATCCCGGCAGATCTGGACTATCCATTGATGTCAGCGGACGTGAAGAGTGCAATGTTCGGGCCCGACTTCAAACATGGCAAGAGCAAACGAACCGTAATGTGCTATGCAGCTGCTGACTTGGCCGGTTCACGCTTGTCTAAGGTTTCCTATTAATTTTGTACAGCATTATTATAAGGAGATTGAGAGGTTGGGCCGTACCCCAGCCCCAGTATGTTCTAGTCGGAAAAGTAATATGTAGAATAAAATAGGTGTAGGGGATCTTTGTTAGTTTTACAGGACAATCGAGTCGAACTTAGCCGCTTGATTGGGCCATTGTGCGCGATTTTTTATTTATTTACCTACTCCAAACAACCCAGTTCCCCTCAGAAATCAAGCAGCCAATCTAGGCCGCTACATGCCTCCTGCAGCAACCCTGGTGATTGGTGAACTTGAGCCCGTTGTGCTGCTACACTTCTGCACTCCATGAGCACGTGCTGCGGCGTTTCTTCTGCCTCCATGCATCCTCTGCACAGTGGGCTGTCTGTTACACCTATGGTGTAGGTGTAGGGGACCACCCACTACTTGACTTAAGGCTTAAAAGGTCTTATAACCCCTAGATGGGGCAGAGGGCATCCACAATTGTCCTCCATCGCGTTCGGTAATACCAACTAGGTAATGCAATATTGAAATTTTAAATATTTGGTGTTATTATTGTTTACAGACATTTGCGCTATTACACATGCTGTCAGTGGATTTAGATTACATAGTTTCATTGGCGGACGAAGCTTATAATATGTACAAAAATATCAAACTGGCGCCAGAAGACGAGGTATGATTAAAATTTATAAGTGCAACGTGAGTGGCAATAATCTTTATAATCCACTTAAATTCACTTAAACTTAATCTACTCACAGTCCACAGATTAAGAAGGCACGGTGCCAAGTTTCTTTAGAACTGTCCATAAATACCTAATAACGACTTTATGGGTCCAAATAATATTTTACAAAATGTATGGATCAAATTAATATTAATTTTCAGGCAGTGCTAACGTTATGCTCCCACTACTTCACCGTAAAGCTCAACGAGGTATGGCAGGAGACTCAGATCCAATGCCCGAACTTGCTGCCTCAAGACCATGACGTTCTGGCTGAGTTTCTTCACATTGGGAAGTGAGTTAAACCTTTAAGCTAAAGAACTTAAAGTTCGAATACCTAATACCTACTCTCATAAGCAAACTTGACGTAAAACTTTTAAGAAATGGTCAATATATTTTATTGTTATTTCAGAGGTTGGGCAAAGGAAATTAAACTCCAACAGGAAGATTTAATAGAAAAAGATAGAAAGAAGGTAATATACCTATTAAACGTAACAGTATTTTTTAAAGTTATGACGCTGTAACACAGACGACAGCATATCTAGGTAAACACTGTGGTATCCAGCTTTATTAATTAAGTACGATTTTGCAATAAAAATCTGCATATTATTATAGCCCAATAGGTTTTTATCTGTAACTACGACCGCCTGCGACTTCGTACGCGTGGATCCCGTTTTACCCCCTTAGGGGTGGAATTTTGCAAAATCCCCTATGCAAAATTAGAGTCAGCCAATCAGTGACCTTTCGTATTTATAGATATACAGGGTGTTAGGTAAATGGGTATATGAGCCGACACTAGCCCATGTTAACATGGTCATATAAATGGTATGAAGAATTCTGACTTCAATCAGAAATTTGATATCATCATTTTAATTTTTTTAATTTTCATACAAAATAAATTTTATAAAATCCGATTTGTATGAAAATTAAAATAATTAAAATGAAGATATCAATTTTCTGACTTCACCATACCATTTATATGACCATGTTAACATGGGCTAGTGTCGGCTCATATACCCATTTACCTAACACCCTGTAGATGACAAAGATCCACACAAATATTTATCACCCCAGGAGTTCGAAGAAGAGTGTTCGCTCTACGCGTTCCTAGCGCGCGTGCGCCTGAACATAGCTTTAGACGCGCTGCGCGAGGTGCGGTGCGTTGCGCGCTCAGCGGATCGCTCGCGAATGACGCACGCGCTGATCCACGACGCGGTACTGGCGCACCACCGCCGCTCCGTCTTCTCCAGGAGGCTGGACGCTCCCGTCTTGAGGACTTACGGACCGTCTTTGGATGACCAGGTATAGTCTTCAGATATTTATTTTAATCAGGAAAATGCAAAACTACGTTACTTTCGAAAACACCTTTTTCGAACTCCTATATTCTTCCGATTTTTGTTGCGGGATCCGAGATATCCCCGGGAGTACTCAACCTTCACTGGTTAGGTTTCATTGGCGGCCAATCAGGCCGAGCTGTAGATCCTGGCTATTCAGGAGTTGCAGTGGTAGACAATTGTAATAAGTCCCGTTCGCGCGAATGACGCACGCGCTGATCCACGACGCTGTTCTGGCTCACCACCGTCGCTCCGTCTTCTCTAGAAGGTTGGACGCTCCCGTCTTGAGGACTTACGGAGTCTTTGGATGACCAGGAAAAATTGTCAGGAGAATACACAAACTGTGTTATTTTCGAAAAAACTTTTTTCGATCTATGTTTTTCTGATTAAATTCGTTGCGGTTTCCAAGACTGCTATGATATCCACCGGGACATTTTACTATGCTTACGATACGATAGTTACGATAGCAAACGCGACAGTTGTTTTTAAACATATTAGATAGATACTCATTATACTAGTACTATCACAAAAGCATAATGTGCCACTATTAAGCAATGTGTCGAAACATTGCTAATAAGCATGACATTTGTGAGCATGTGTGTGCAACTACCTATATGTGGTGCACTGCGCTGTCAAAAAGTAATTAACAATCAAACAAACGTTTTTGAACCACCAGTTGGCGCTACTGGCAAGTAATGAATTTGTTTAGTCGGTCATGCTATTTCATTTAGAGTAGGCACACACCGTTGATTTTTCTTCGGCCGATAGTTTAGTCGGGCAGTTGATCAGTATGGGCATGTATGGGAGTGCGCACACTACGCCGATTCGATTTGGCCGATTCTTCATACAAATTAAAATCGGGCACAACTATCGGTCAACTAAAAATCAACGGTGTGCGCCTACTCTTAGGGCTGATTTTTCAATCGTCAAATATCTTTTTAACTGAAGAATAAACTTGTCAGTTTGACATATTTTCCAAACTTATTCTTCAGTTAGTTATCCTATGATTGAAAAATCAGCCCCTAAACAAATAATGTTTATTTCAGAACATAACAGGGCAGTACGTTAAAGTTTACAGCATACTGCCAAAAGACAAGCCCAAGCCGAGGGAGGACAATATGTCATCGACGTCATAATTTTCTTCTTATTTAATAGCATACTTAATAAATGTAATAATAAAACATTTAATTTCTTTAGTAGTGTTTATTTGTAATCCCCACTTTAAATACATAAATTAATTTTAACTCCGTCTATATTAAATTCATTATACATGAAATATTATTGTTATTGAGTTTGGGGTCGATTAACATTGCAGTAGAAACTAGGTACCCAACTTATTTGTACGTTTACCCGATGATATAGCAAACCATGACAGAGTGATAAGTTATGTATTTGGAGAAATTTGAATAGGCTGAACAATTAGGTTCTGGAATATTCTAGAATAAAAATTACAGGGACAACACTAAGTAGGTGTCATGCCATGGCCACGTAACCAACAGGCTACAAAGATATAGATGACCCACGCTGAACTGTCCCGCCAAACTCAATGACAGAGGGGCGCTACCATCGTTCAACTATATGGTTTCCAACATGGCAAAAATCTGAACCAGCGATCCGGTATTGACGGTGGCGCCCCACTGTCAATGTCATCGACAGGACAGTCCAGTATTTTGGAACTATATACACATATAAAACCCATTCCGCATTTAGATATGGCTTTAAAATCTAGAAAAGTCACACATAACAAAGAATATGATTAAAATGGGAATTTATTGCTTGAGTATCTATCTTATAAATTACAATGAAATCGAATTGTTTGTATGCACGAAATATAAATACAATTATGACAATTTAAAACGGTGAATTATGAAATGCGTTTACAATTTATTGTGATTCCACTTAAAATAAATCTATATTGGAATGGGTTCAGTATAAAAGGCGATAGTTTAAAGTACAGTCTACTATTACAGCTATAGACACGGTATCAATTTACCTGATTATTTATTTACATGATATTAAGATGGCGGATTCTCCGCACTTATTCTACGAAATACGAGTAGTACGTACAATCGTTTGCTTTTCAGCAAGTGTGAAAAAAAAACAGTGATTTCTTATGTGATGCAAATATAGGCCGTTTCGTCCAAAGTTCCAACATCCCGTACAATTTGGTCATCCTGAAGTTGCACAGTCCTCGAGACTCGGGCCCGTACTATGAAACGACACTGCAATTTGTATCCAAACTGCATATAAATACTTAGACCATTCAATCTTTAAGGGACCCCTAATAGCGTCTTTTGAGCGTCATCGTCTTGGTGCGCACTCGCAGCGTCGCCGCCACACCAACGCAATGCTGAGCGTTTGCCAAACGCCAGATGGTTTTATCCACGAAGACGTGCCCTACCATTCTTCCGCTAATGTTTGAGTGTTATCGGTACACGCTAAATCATCCATGAGTGAACACGCACACTACAATAATGACGCTCGGATTGCTCGGATCAAACTCCCCGCACCCCGCGCTTCCCTCGACCAAAAATTGGTGGGGCGCGTCTTTGTGGATGATCTGACGACGATTTATTCGTAGCGCTGGCGTTACGTTATTTAGTTCAAAGAGAGTTAGGCCCGCAATACACGGACAGCTCGAGCAGTTAGTGATCAACATACACGGACCGCTCTTGCAGAGAAGAGTCAACAGCTTGAAGCTGCTAGTGATAACTGCTTGAGCAGTTGGTATTAAATGCTCAACCAATCACAAGCGCGCGCGCCGTGGAATGAAGAAAGCGGGCGAAGGTAACTGCGCGAGAGCTGTCGACAGCTCGAGCAGTCAGTGTATGGCTGGCGACTGCTTGACCGCACGATGAAAATTCACCGTGCTGTCGATCGCCCGAATCAGTTGCAACTGCTCGAGCGGTTCGTGTATGTGCGTCCATAGAACTCTGCAGTTCACTATGCAGTCGCAGTTTGAAGCTGTCGACCCTGACTGCTTCAAGCGGTCCGTGTATTGCCGGCTTTAGTGCGCCGCGTTAACGCTGCGAAGGTACTGGCGAGACGACGACACAAAAAGACGCTAGTTTGGGAGAGGCCTAGTCAAATGTAAAATGTCGTTTTATAATTGGGCCTCACAATATACCTAGGGAAACGCTTCACGATAAACAGTGCACAAAATAATATCAAACATTGTGAATCATGACTAGAATTGCATAATTACATGAGTTTTCATTTTGAGACATCTTCGGTATAAACCATAAGTGCGTGCTTACATTGCTCGGAGTTCTATGATAAGTTGTCTTAGATAAGTACAATATTTTCTAAACAATATATTGATGTCAAAAGCTCGATACTCTAATTTTAATTTCTAAATTATAATAAACAATGTTACTTACATAAAAATACTATCACATTGACCTTTTGTGTGCATAGTTTTTCTGTTAGTGCCATCTAGGCCGATTATAAATTAATGGTCTTAGAGTCCATTAACTTCCTGGATTTGGCAATCTGATATTTACGACTAATTTTAACTTTATTTAAAAAAATACCGACTTCAAAAAAAGGAGGTTACCGACTTCTCGTAAAAAGGATGTTTGTGTATATGTTTGCCCGCGAATATTTTGCAGAAAAGTATTTATTACATTCTGGAGAAGTTTCAGTATACAACAAATGGCTTCAGTATACAGCAATATGCATACGTAAATTATTATTTACACTTTTTTGGAGACGGTTATATTTTTGTTAAAATGAAATGATGTATAAAAAGATTTTACATAGTGTTTGGCAACCTTTAACCTCCTTTTCTAATGTAAACACGCTTTAATGTTCATTTTGTCTGTGAAAACCAGTAAACAGAAACACATGGCAATGTAATAGGAACAACGACATTATGATTATATTAACCCTATGAACTCCAAAGTCTATTGTATTAGTTACTATTAGATTTTTCATTGATTCGATTTTGCCAATACTTGTTTTACGCAATATGATATGAAGTAAAATTATTTGTATTAATATTTATTTTACGCGCTGATGTTACGTTCAAAGGGCTAACCAACTTCTAATGTTTATCTGAAAAATGCTTATTTATTTTAGAAATGTTTCAAAACCTTATACACGAAAAAAATCACATCTCTACAGGATGATATGAACGTTTTAAACAAAATCAACCATAAGTAAATACCTAGACAACTAAACAATAATAATAAAAATCTTGCAACTTAGACATTACAATGAGTTATTTACAGTCGAAGAATCAAAATATAAGGTAAATAAACAAAAAACAATTTTATGATTGCGAAGAGTATTATAAAACATGCAAATAACAAATTAATAAAAACATTCTTGGCACTTTGTAATCGCATCGTTGGTCGAAAGGCACTCGCAACGTCCGTCCCACACAACCCTAAATCTTACAAACTACAGTCCGTTGGTTAGAGCGAGTCCACAAGATGCAATACATCAACAAAGAATCAATAGGTGATATCATAATTAACTTTTAAAAAAAATAAAACCGACTTCAAATGCGTGAACACAAAAAAAAACTAAAAATTGAAAATATTGGGTATAAAAAAGTTCATCCCCAATTTTCCACCCTTGGGGGTGAAATATTTTCTTCAAATTATGAAACCACCCTTTTGATAATACCTATTCAACAAAAAAATAATCGTTTAAATTGATTTATAATCGGCGGAGATATTGCGTATAAAAAAGTTCATCCCCAATTTTCCACCCTTGGGGGTTGTTTTTTCTATTATTAAATTTAAATGGGACCACCCTTGAGGTATTACCTATACGCAGAAAAAAGATTTGTTCAAATCGGTTCATAATTGGCGGAGTTATCGCGTAACAAACATAGAAAAAAAAAACATACGGGTCGAATTGAGAACCTCCTCCTTTTTTGAAGTCGGTTGATAATTATATTTTGTTACAGTCAATTTTATGGCAAGAAATATTAAAAGGACACACTTAATTTTATAAAAAAGCGATATGGTGGCTACGAAATGGACTTTAATTAACGCCACTTAACATTATTTAAAAACAACATCTTGATTTTATTTCGCTATGGTTACAGTGCATCGTGTGGCTCCGCACTAACATGTGAACACGCGTCGCTTTAACTTAATTTATTAGCAACAAGCACTACTTAACGGCTTTCTATCTTAAGTAAATTATCTTATTTCTCCTTTTGAGATTGGTTTCGCTTTTTCTCGTCACCTGATAAATATTCTGCCAAAAAGGTCCTCTTCGTGAGGGCACTCAGTTTGACCAGGGAGAATATTTTGAGTCTATCTGAGTAATATAAATATCGAAATCTTAGATCACAATAAAAACAGTAAAAAAGTCATTACGTTATGTATGTGCACATGAAATTTACGTCAAAAATGTGTTATTAATGATGAAGTCACTAGCGCGCTACTATCAGCAATATTATGTAATAGAAAACATGCCATTCACTTTTTCAATTATCCAATAACAATGTACAAAACGACGCCTGTTCTGTTACTGGACTGAACCGTGCCACACTTCCCAAAACAATGAAGCAAAAACAAATATAACGAGTCGTCTGCCTTCAGCAAAACAAATATCATCGATTTTAAGAAAAGATGCCTTTTCGAAAAAATAATATAATTTGCTGAAGGCAGCAGACGGCTTAATTCCACGTTTAACGGCAGTATAGAAACATTATTAAAATATATATTCCCCTATCTACATCTACTTCAAAAAGATAATAGAATAAGAAAAATATCAGTTCACCTGGCGATCCGTGTAACTACACGCAACAATCAGTCAAAACCATGAGCATGAATGACGATGGGTGAAGTGTGCTCTATAACTTATTACAGCACTGGGTGTGATTATGTATGTCACACTACATCTTAAACTAAAATACATTGAGCCTGATTTCTTTACGATAACTGCCTAAGCCATACCATCTTTATTCTGATTCCGTGTTTGTTTATATCAGTACAAAATTGTTTCGACTTGCTAAGGCTGCTTGCTTACATACATAGAGTGGAAACCACCCCGTATAACATCGAAAACATCGCTTCTTCTCATTAAAAAAACTATTATACTCAGACACGGTAAACCGAATTTCCGTAAATATCTTCAATATTTTTAGATCATTCGTTAATATTGTTGGTCCCTTTTTAAAAAGACCAATATTATTGATTAATCAAGGGAAAAAAGATTTCATAAAGAATGGCTACACGAAATCCGCCCAATGTATATGATGATTATAACTGATAACTTATAATGTATGGGATTTGAGATATAAATGCATTATTTATGAATTTTCAACATATTTAGCCGATGGCATTTTTTCACAACTTCATTATTTTTAAGGGGTGATTTTGAGATACTTTTACTAAAGTACCACTAGGCCAATATGGTACATAAACAGCTGACCGGTTAAAATGAGAAACGTTTTTTAACTTAAACGTTGGTCCCTTAAGTAGGTAGGTATTTAATTGAGCAAAATCACCCCTTAAGAGTAGATGACTATATTTTAGTTTACAATAACGTACTAGGGCACTATTTAAGTTGTGAGCCTCGACAACATAACGTGTTGTTAGACGACATCTGATACTTTTAATGAAAAGTTTGACATTTTTGACTACAACCTTATTCAAAACTTTTTATCATTTGAGCACGTTTTGTATTATTAACATTGAATTGAAAATTATCTTGACTACAAAAACATGGAATTGACTTGCGAAAATTTTCGCGCAAAGATTTATTATGACTTTCGACGTGGTTAATCAATACAAAACTGAAGCGGTCAGCTAAATTTCACTTTTGGTGATAAAGATCTGTCCTTTACCATTGTAAAACGCTAGTTTAAGAAGTATAATATTGTATGTCATTGGCTCACCAGTGAACTTTGCGAAAGTCGTCCAAAATGACTAATAGTGGCGGAAAACATTGGTGTTGTCAGAAAAATGGAAGAGAAACCTCGTCATGTGATGTATCGTAGGATTGAGATAATCCTAGGCATTAATTCCACTAGCAGTAATAAAATATTGTATGACCATATTATGGTTAATACGTTTTTTTCTCGCTGGATGTCACAAAATTTTTCAAACGCTCAATAGGACGCTGGTGTCGTTTAGTCCATGGAAATGTTTGATAAATACGTTTAACAAGCTTTAAAAGCCGTTTTTAAAATTGTGACAGTTGACGAATTAAGGATCTATGCATGATGATCCTGAAAATAAACAGCTATCGACTATGGAGGTGTTTTAAGATGAAGCAATACCAACAAAAGTCCCATGCGCTCGGAACACTTTAAAACTTACGGTCGCCTATTTTTCCGAAATATCCGATTATATGACAGAAACGTCACTAGAGAAATTTAGAATGGTTAATTCTTAATAGTAAACAGCCACTTTTTTTCCAAAAGTCTTCAGTTTAATAAGGGAAACTGACCAGCATAGTCGAATCGCCATTCGCGTCGAAAATGTGAGCTTTTACACGTCTCGTCAAACAACTGACTATTTGAACACTCAAAATATGAAATAAACAGGTCCAACGCTACAAAATTCTTGCTTGGAATTTAAACACTTCTTTTGGTACCCATATACTAAAATTAAATGCGTGAACAGCGATTTATGTAGCCAGAAGCAACTGTCGGTGCAGTTAAAAACCATGCTTTGGAGGTGCCTCAAGCTGAGTGGAAAAAATGCTATGAAAAGAGTTTCGGACACATTAAAAAGTACATAAATCATGAAAGACAATACCAATAAACGCAATCAATACCATTTTAATAATAAACTACTTTGTTTTCATAGTTAGGCTCACAACTTAAATAGTGTCCCACGTATTCTTACTGCTGTACCAGCGTTACAGTGTTCACACGATATCTGGATGAAAATACAAAAGTTGGGCAATTTTCAACCCTATTTTGCAAACTTGAATTTTTCTGATATGCCTAATGACTGACGTTTTGAGCATTTAATGGGTTATTTTTATATTATCTTTTAGAATATGATATTTAAATTGTGTGAACACTTATACGACATTTAGGTGCTTTAAAATATACCAATGACAGTGTTGCTAGCAGTTTCGTCAGCAATCGTTTTTGATATTTTATTTATGGTTATTTACTTTTTTATTGATATTGTTTTGTTTTTGCTTGTTGTTCTCTAAAATACAGTTTGTTTTGGTCGTTAATTTGACTTTCCCTTGGAAAATCCTTCTAGACATTCTAGATTACCACCAGGTCTTATCCCAGAGCAAATACAGTCCAGTCCTTCGCGGATCATAATAGACAGTATGTGGCCCAACTATTGTATTTTCACCCATCTAACAAGCATGGCAATATTAGGCAATATTCAATTATTTAATATTGCCTAATATTCAAAGTTCAATGTATTTGCGTTATAAATAAAGCATTCATAAAATTCACAGTAAACGTAATATCTCAATGTTACACATGATTTATAGAATAACTTATAATGGACACAAAAGGACATAAATATAGTGTCTCCAAGCTACCATTATAGTTACGTCAAGGCTGCAGTAACTATGTTTAACTCTTGCATATTTAGCTCTTGCAACAAGCAAAATTATTTTTTTTCTATGGCACAGGAATACAAATATGCTTCTCGTAAATACATCCTTACTAGCCAACATCTTGTTAAAACATTAACATTTTTTCAACACGAAACTTAATGTAACATCAATAAATTTTGGCCTAAATAGTTTTAACTGGAACACCAATTACAAAATATCCCAGGTTGTTGTGATACACAGCAAAAGAGGCTATATTCCAAAAACATTTGTATGAATATCTTAACACACAAGATGTGTGAATTAGACCGGCATAAAGCTTCCACCACACCAACGCGTGCCGATCGCCATCGCCGTCGCGATCATAGGCAAATGACTGGTCGCGCGACCAATGACAGGTGCACGCGTTGGTGTGGTTCAAGTTTTATGCCGGTCTAATTCACACATCTTGTGTGTCAAGATTTTCATACAAACGATTGATTGAATTGAATGGGAGATGACATTCTCAGCACGTTAATAACTCCAAATCGTGTATTTCGTTCACAAGAACTGTCGACCAGAGCAGATAAGTTTGCTTTTCCGTTCAATTCCAAAGTCTTGGGAAAAATTATAGTCTAAGGGATAATAATTTAAGCAGTTCCTTCCTATACCTGCTAGGTTCACTGCAATGTAAGTTTTTGTTAACATTCACATCAGTCAGCAAAGTTCAAGTTAAATGAGTGATAGTTATATTATGTACTAAACTTTTTAATTAAATATTCTAGTTTTTGTTAAGTGGAGCATTTCAAATTGTGTAGTTTTAAGAACAGTTTCCTTTTTCAGGTTTTTATTTAATAAACAGCCTAAAAAATTACCGTCTATCTCAACAACAAGAGATTTGTATTGTATAAAGAATGAAGTTTGATAACATCTAATCGACGATCGAATTTGCCAGGAAAACTAAAACTACAGTAACGTTTATTACTTTTTATAGGTGGATATTTAATAATATTAAAGTAGTTCAAAGCCTCAGATAAGGTGTACAGAATGGCATCTCGCAAGACATGGCATGGTAACTGCTTATGCAGCATCTAAATGTAAAAACGCAATCTAATCTCAATGCTTTAAATTACTGACTAACAGTGAAACGAGTGAAGCATAGTTAGAAAAATATCATAAATTCGCTCTGCGCATAAAATAATCAAATAACTAATGATATATTGCCTTAAATTCTTATTGCTAATCGGTTGCATTGTTCAAGCATTCGCCTCTACGGTACTTTTACTATCATTATTTTTAATTATACTTAATTTGACGGCCAATCAAAATAAATCGACCTGCAAAATGCCATTCTGGTTTGTCTCATCAATAACAATTACTAATGTTAACAATATGGAACACATAATAATATTATTAATGATTTTGCGTATTCGATATTAAAGTCTTGCCACGAGAACGATACTCGCACAATATCGTACAATATACCAAGTATAATAAATAGAAAATAACCGTATATCATTTATTTCTGATAGTAGTAACCGAGGAAGATGATTATAACATGATTTCTAAAGTATTTCTTAATATCTATTAGATATTCACTATAGAAACTTTCGCTCAGCAACAATCATTTGTCTATTTGATAAAATAAACATTTAATTTATTACTACATCGAAAACATTTTCAAAGGTGTAGGAGAATGTATGGATGGAGGGTTTGATTAAACGTCTTGTTTTGACGGGCGGACGCAAATAGTTGAAAGACTACAGCTTAGAAATATTCGTCTTTGGTTAGAACAACAAGCAAGAAGAAATTCGTTAAATTTCGCTTTCAACTTACTCAACACTGTTTCATCTAGCAGCAATACAAATATTGAAATTGAACCAGCTATTTAAAATGTAAATTGTGCGTAATATTCGTTGGATATGCAGACCGGGCATTCGAGGATGTCCAGAGGCAAGTAAGTTGATGTGGAATGAGGGTTTTTCGCGTATGAAAAATCCGCCAGATGGCAATACGTAGACGCGAGGTCCAAATGCTTTTTTTTTTAATGGCAACCAAACCTCTCTGGGCGGTTTATTTCTACCAATGTAGAGTGAAAAATAATTGACAAAATGCTGCATGATTGGTTATTTTTGACATGACATTGACAGATATGTCAAAACCAATCACGCAACAGTTAGACCCCACATCCACGTCCCGCCATCTAGCGGATCTTTCATACGCGAAAACCCTTATTGGTTAGATTATTTTCGGTCGTCCGCCCTCGTACCTTTTTAGGAGTGATCAGATCCGTGCTCGGAGTTGCTGAACATAGATGCGACCATGCTATCGAACTCGGGGACAGCGTCTTCGAACATCTTGAGCTGGTGCGAGAGAGACTCGGAGTCGGCCGACGTAGCCGGCTCGGTCAGTTCCGGCCACTCATCGCTGGCAGAACGCGCTTGCAAGCACTCCTGGTAGAAAGTAGCCAGCTCCGTCAACGGACTGCCGTCGGCGAATGGGAACTCCTGGAATTACCACGCGGTTTGCTGAGTAAATTAAGCACATTTAATCCCAAGGCAGTGGGAATGTAGTTTTGAACTTTATTCGCTTGTCTTAAGGTTAAACAATGAAAAATTTGATTATGTTATGATTGTTAAGGGGATGAGAGGGAGAGAACGCAAGCAAACTGACAAGACTAATCCTATCTTTCTTTCCCACCACTGCAACTGCTGTATAGCCAGGATGTACAGCAGGGCTTCCAATGAAATCCAACCAGTAAAAATTGACTCCGGGACAAATAACTTACGAGTAAATTCTACAATTTACACCATCTTTCAAGCAGTCGAAGAGCAGTCAGATAGCTGGATATATTATGGCTTGAGTGCATGTGAATTTATTTTTAGCAGTAGTTCCGCTTACCATCAGACTATTGTATTTGTCACCGTTCTTCGGCCGAGGCACCTCAATGGCCTTGCTCATAGCATGCGAAGATGTGCCGGCACCATCGTTGCTGCATCCTGCTCGTTCCTTACTCTTGGGGCGAAGGGGATTTTTCAGTCTCTGGAAATATGATTACAAGTCGTAAAGGTTCTTTAATACTGCAAATATGCTTTTAAAAACATGATTGAATATAGACAATGTAACAACTGATGAGTATTAATAGTGATGATAAATGAGAAAGACATGCAATCTGAAGCTATGATGCACAGTTTTTTGTGGTTGTAAAATTGAACCGGATAGAAACAGAAATAAGTTTAGAAGAAAAAATATTTTTTACCTTTTCTAACTTATCCTTCTCAGCTAGAAGCCAAGACATTGGTGGTTCCGGAGGTATTTGCTGTTTCAAAGCATCATGCAGCTCCTGAAGCTTCACTGTGTCTACAAACGCGCCTGCTGTGAGCGGCTTGTTAAGGTCTATTTCTTTCTTGTCATAATTTCTCCTGAAAACAGTAATGATGACAGAAATCAATACAGGCATAATACAGATTATTAAGAAATCGACGATTTTTTCAAAACCATAACATAACCAAGAAAATAATTTAGACCAAAACTGACTTACTTTGGACTTTCATAGAAATGATCACTCTTCACCATAATGTCGGTAGCTGATGTTGAAATCACTCCGTCCAGCGGTTTGATCTTATCCTCTGGCAGGATTGTCATCTTTGTTCTGTAAGCTACCTCTATAACTATGGTTCCGATGGGTGTTTTTAGGTCGCTCACTTTTACAGTTTTAAACTTCTCACCTAAACAAAACCAATATTATTGTTAAATAAACTCCTTAATTAGATAATAATGGCTTATTGAACATCATAACAATCAAAATGAAGTGTTTATGACCTGCTTGTTGCTACGTTGCAAAATCTTTTGTTTAAAATGTGATGATATGTGATCAACAATGAAAGCATTACAATACTGATAATATAGTTTTATCAATGATACAATGGATAAGGTGCACAAATACATAACACTGCCAAACATCAATACAGCTGTTTATGATAAAATTATTCAATGAAAGTGCTCTGTTTCCAAGTTAAATTTATTTAAATAGTTCATGGTTAAAAAAATTAATATTTTTTTTATAAACATAAATGAAGAATCTTCATATTTATATAGATTGCTTTAGCCTGCCCGCAGACTACAGACTTTTTGGTGGACGATAGTTTGGTTGGACTGTATCAGTAGAAGTAAGACATAAGGATATTGTGTTGTAAGGAAGTGTGCACGTTACACCGATTTGGTTTCGACTGATTCCTCATACAATTAGGAAGTCAGTAGTCTGCGGGGAGGCTAAAGCCTTAATGTTGTTTTTTTCTCATGTATGCAATGCTTTCATACAGTCACAAAGCATGCAGTTTGTATTAATTTGAACAAACATGAAAATTATAAATGATCAGTGTCATAGAACTTTACACATGCGTATCAAAACATTTAATTGTTGAATAATATGCATTAAATTGCAGACCTAATAGATCAAGATTTGGTTCTCCACCATAAATTTTGTGCGAAACGATGTATGATTCCTTATGCTGTGTTCTGGCCATTTTGTATGCAGGTGTAATTCTTGATATGCTCAATGTTGACTTAAGCATTGTACTCATACGGTAATAAATATTTGTGATAGAGTTCATTGCGGGATCTGCTCCTGGTACAATCTTTACTGTCCATAGTTCTAATACCATTCTGTCCCCATCATTTGTACGCAAAGATATTTCAATGCACAACACTTTCACAAGGGCTTTTACAACTTCTCCATTCAATACTTGCTTGGTGTCACGTGCAACGTCTGGCTCGTCGGGGATGGACAAGTTAAACTATAAAAAAAGAGATACATAATGGTGCATTCTAATCTCTTCGTGGGTGGGTCTACAGAATATTATTTGATGTGGCTATGAAAATTCTAATTACAAATAATTTGCATGGCAATGTATTTGGAATGCTTAACAAAATTTAAAATGGACCATGAATTAAAAATGAATTATAATCAAAAAATTTTGTAAAACCTTACCCACTGCACATTTATAGACGATGGTGGCAATTGTTCTAACGCCTTTGTAGTGTTGGTTTCATGAGTGATCTTCTTCCCTTGTCTACTTTGGACAACTATTTGAGCAACTTTCAAAGTTAATATTTTCGTAAACTTGTACAGCTTGAGTCGGTCGTGTGATTCAGTACTTGCAGAGGCCATTGTAAAAGTATTTATTCAATTGAACTAGCTAATTACAAACACATTTTTATCCAATTGCGCAGTGAAACAACAAACAAATTACTCTGAGGAACCTATGCTCATGATAAAAATATTTATTCACCAATGTACAACGAAGTTCACATTGCATTATAATTTAAAGTAATAATCTGATATTGATGTAATATTCCCAAAAATAAACTAAAAAACCCTAAGAGGAATTCGGAATCGCCAAGTACAACGCGAAAAGGTTTTTTTTTAATTCCAAAGATATTGATACCATTTTAATTCTGGATTGGCTAGATCAGGCTAGCGCTATTTATAGCCACTGTTTGGATTGGTGGTTAGAATATTTGAGTTACTCTCATTGGCTATCGACTACCACTTCTCTGTCAACATCAGAGAACGAAACGTTTCATTCTACGTAAATGATCACACCTACCATAAAGAAATCTGAGTATTCGTCAGGTAAAAGTTTTTATTTGTGAGTTTGGATTGGTTTGATATTGTTCCTGTAGGAAAATTGTTGCATTTGTGGTGTACAAATTATCAATTTGTTCGGTCGGATGAATAAAAATTTTGCACATTTATGTGGTTTTGACTGATGCCCTTGGTCATTATCGCTTTTGACTGATTTTTCCTTTTGAATTTTGACTGTAACATAATACAGTGTGTCCGGGCATGTAGTGATCAAACTTTAAGGGCGTAATCTATGGACAATTTTATCGATGAAAATACTTCAAATTTGGGGCCTGACCCATTTCTCGAAAAATTACATCGATTTAAGTTTTTAATTTTTAGTTTACACCTCTTCTTTAAAAAACAAGTGAAAGCGTGGGTAGCTTAACATTAGTAGGCAAATATTTTATATCATGCGATAGCCATTGCGATAGCCAATAAAATTATCTATTAGTAGAAGAAGAAAGCAGACACAAGTTTCATACATTTTATGGGAGTAAGAATGGATTTAATTTGAAAAATACATTACTTTTTTCTCTTATTTTTCAGTTATTTTCCAACACAAGAAAAACCAGGTCGTTAAGGTATGTTTTATTTGCATTGTATTATTAGTATTTGAGCTATTCTACAAAACGAATGTAAATTCATTAGTCTACGTCTATTAGTTTCGACGTAATTGTTGAACAAAGATACCCCTTCCCAGCGGTTTCCATAGCGCACGCGACATGCGAAAATACACTGCCTGAAAGAATCACACAACCTATTCCGATTACTATGGAAACCGCTGGGAAGGGGTATCTTTGTTCAACAATTACGTCGAAACTAATAGACGTAGACTAATAAATTTACATTCGTTTTGTAGAATAGCTCAAATACTAAAAATACAATGCAAATAAAACATACCTTAACGACCTGGTTTTTCTTGTGTTGGAAAATAACTGAAAAAGAAGTGAAAAAAGTAATGTATTTTTCAAATTAAATCCATTCTTACTCCCATAAAATGTATGAAACTTGTATCTGCTTTCTTCTTCTACTAATAGATAATTTTATTGACTATCGCATGATATAAAATATTTGCCTATTAATGTTAAGCTACCCACACTTTCACTTGTTTTTTAAAGAAGAGGTGTAAACTAAAAATTAAAAACTTAAATCGATGTAATTTTGCGAGAAATGGGTCAAGCCCCAAATTTGAAGTATTTTCATCGATAAAATTGTCCATAGATTACGCCCTTAAAGTTTGATCACTACATGCCCGGACACACTGTATACTCGTCGTCAGGGCGGAGAACTCTGATACCGCGATGCAGGTTTGCGCGTGTACCATTATTTATTAGTCAGGTAGGTGTCAGCGCCATCTTTTGGATGATGGTGGAGTGTCGATCGATGTCGCCACACCACTCCTCCTGAAGCTCGTATACGTTATAGGTTCTGTGCCCTGAAGAACCGGAGGTGGATGACATCAGGATGAGCTCTCAGACACACAGACGTGCGTATGAGCTCACAAGTACCAACTATAATGTAGTGTGCTCAAGTCTGCGGTGTGTCGAGACGAGCGAGCAGGTTGATTGATTGGTCTTCGATGGTCGGGCTTGGAGTTGAGGCCACTTTGTTCATTAATATCAATATGAGGCGAGGCTTCAATAAAATCCGACAAAGATAGGTTTTATAAAATTCATGTTGTAGAAAATAAAACGGTTCAAGGAATTTGAAATAATTTATTATATTGGCGTAAAATACGTTTTAAAACTCCGTGAATTACAGTGGAAAGTCTACACGTTAAAATGGAAAAAGTGAAAATCTTAATAAGTACCTATTTTAATAATAACTGATAAAAATTGTTACCTTACATAAAGTTTACAAACAACAGTTAATGTAAATACTAAAATAGATATGTAAAATATTGCAAATCCATCACATAACTGCTCCATTATTTAATGATAATCTCACCTAAAATTAATACATCCTACATCCATCACCATACCATGTCTTCATAAATTAACTGGAGAGGTTGATTCAAATGTAGAATTATTTATTAAAAATATCATAAAAATTTATTGGACTCAAAATTTATTATTAGCATACATTTCTTTGGCACTTTATACATTTTTATTGAATGTACTACCTAGTACTTAGACTATAAAATTACATAAAACTTCAAAGAAATATGTATATTCTACACAAATATCCTCTCCAGTAATACACCTAACATTTTAGCATCTACGCGAAATTATAATGTAGCTATACTTATAAAATAAAATACACACCTATTTTGTCTTTTGGCGCAAGTACACTATGCGGGATATTGATCGAGACGTATAGTGCAAATATTCAATTCGGTTAGTTTCGCTGGATGTCGCCCATACCACAGAATAAGTAATAGTACAGGTACAGAAGGATTACTGCGCACGACGATTTAAATAAATGCGAGTCTTGCTGCGACGCGATACAGTGGAATTCAGCTCGCACAGCACTACGTACCTACAATTTTATTCACCTACAAGTTTTGTCTCTTTCTATCGCGTGCCTCTGAACTCTTCTTACGCTGTTAGGGTTGCTGTCTAGTGAAAAAATAATTAATCTACTTATTTGTAATGAGGTACGTATGTAGGTAAGTAAAAATAACATTTCAAATATACCTAATTAGGATTAAAAAAACTTGTTCTATTACAATGTCTTCATTCATACCTACCTATTTTAACATAAGACAGATAAATTAAACATACTATTACAGAAAAAAAAGAATCCTATACTATCCTAAGAATTTTATTATTGATTACCTACATGGCCAAAATACCTTTCAGCATCTTTGGGAAGCGAAAAAAAAAGATAAATCCGGTAATTTCTTTTCGAATTTAAACACCCGAACGCCGCACAATATTTCTTTCTCTTTATGTCCATTTTTAAATAATACTTCGATCATAGAATTATAATCATACTAAAACGCAAGCCAGCGTCCTGACGGGCGCGCGCGTGACACTCGACTGATATAATACCCGCCGGCGGGGCGCTTCGCTGTAGGTAATTATCGGATGTACCACGCGGAGTGAGCCAGGCCTGCCCATACTTTGGTGTGCGATCTCGCGGTTCGTCTCGTTCAATTTCTCGCATTGTGTACTTGCGCCATTTGATGAACAACAAAACTTAGTAGCAAGTAAATGTTGGCAGAAAACAATATTTTTGACCAAACCCAAACACCTTCAAGGCACTAGTGGATAGGCATTTTTGGGGAAGCCCGCCCTGTCAGATACAGTGTTTGTATACCTAGACATGCATCTGAATGAGATTTTAGATTATTCCACTTTGTTCACCTGGGTGAATTAAAGCGAGTAATTTATTACCATAAAATTTTCAATTAAAATGTTACATAGACTAGATCTTTTGTTGTTTTAAAATAAATAAAATATAAATATTAATATTCTTTAATACCAAGAATACGTTAAAAAATTTTTACGACCTCTAAACATGCACTTATAATAATGGTGTCAAATACCAAATAGTTTGCACAACTAATTGTAAAATTAGCTTAACGCAAATCTCATAATTCAAATCGTAAACCTACATTTATTAGATAAAATATTGCTTATTCATTAATTCGCAAAGGCATTATTTAGGTATTACGTTACGTTAGCACTAATCTGTCGCGAAACAATGACAGCGAACCATTTCAATATCTCACTTCGCCACAAAGCTAATGTGTAAACGGTGTCCGTGTAAACATTTACAAAATAATTGCGCATCAAATAACGTCAGCGAATAATGTATGATTTTATGTAGTGTACTTTTAATTTTTTGCCGAATAGAATATACATAACATGATTATTGAATAATTCACAAGATCATGATGATGACTGGTGTACAAGTAATATAATAGTTCAACTATGTTATGAATGCTACTATATTAAATATGGAAATGCAAAAAGCTTTTCATACCAGTGAAGTCTTCTACATAACTTTCACTGATTATTTTGCCCAATTTTGATAAATATTGTTGAAATAGTATGAGTAGGTAATAAAATGAATTTAATTTGGCATTCATGCAATTCATAGGCCTAGTGTTTTCCTGACTATTTGCTCGGCAATTTTGTTGAATTGCTCTCTATCTTCGCGCCACATTTTAGCAGCATCCACATTAGCACCACTTTCGTCATTTGGCTCTGTAAAATAAAATAAAAAGATACATTTATATTACTTTATTTAAATTTGTATGATGTCATCAGTTAAGAGTCACACCCAAAAAAAAATCCTATTAATGTATAAGAGATTTTATCATAAAGAAACACTTGTTTGGTGGTGTGACTCGTTGGGATTGTTGGGAACCAGTGAACAACAATAAGCAGAGATGAGCTTAGATTAGACTGAGTTGCACCACTCAACTTTGACCGTAACTATAACGTTAACCGGTGCTTTTTTATGGAGTTTGACAGAATTTTGACGTTTGTCAAAGTTAAAGTAAGATGGTGCAACCCAGCCTTAGAGTACCAATGTAACACTAACCTGCTAGCATACTGACTACAGAGAGCAAAATTTTTTCTACACTCTGTACTGGGGACCAACGTTCAGCACTGCTCTCGTACCCCATAGGATCATCTCCTGGCGCATGCAGAATGGATATGCAAACTCTCCCATCTGCATAAACTGGAATTGAAAATAAAAATATAAGCAAAGAATCAAGTTATCAAAAATGACAACTGTATTATTTTGTGATTTTGTGAAACTTCTCAAATCTCCATTTAATTGGTTTATTTCCATATTAGGGGAGGCCTTTGTTTGAAGGCCAGCAGTGGGCGTCATTTGGCTGAAATGAACAAACGATTTCCATATTCCTTGAGTGTGTGTACCTAATAATACTCTGGTATAAAGACAAGATGGGGGACCAAGCAGGCTATATTAGAATTTCGAGCTATAAACAAAGTGGGTATGTGCTGTCATATCGTAGGATTCTATTTGTATGTAAAACTCACATTATGAAGTCTGGTGTGCATATTTAGGGCTAAAACTTCCATTTATTTTTAGTGAATTGGAGAAGGTAGTGTTTCTGGATTATTCCACTTAGCAGATCAGATAAAAGCATGAATGGGTTTGTGGAAGAAAACTTTACAATCCACCATAAGAGACAAATATTGGAGATGATTTGTTTATGTCATCCATCCATGTCCCAGTATACCACTCTTTGGGATAATAAATGAGCCAGTGTTGAGAGGAATCGGCACAAGAAACTCAGTCACCCCCGATACTCACTGTTAGGATGGAACATCTCACAGAGGAAACGCATCTTTGGAGGGCTGAGAGGGTAGTCTGGCGGGAATGACAGTTTGGCTGGAAATACACCTCCTTGAAAGCATGTCCCTTCTGGTCCCCTGAAAATAAATAAAATAATCATATTTTACTTTTTGGTGTAGAAATGACAATACCTCATAATGAACATTAAAAAAAATTTTATGCATTAGGCTTCAAATTTAAATTTTACTATTTACTATGAAGATCAGTTTACTTACATTATAAGTGCCTCCCATTCGAAGAAATTTTCTTCATTGATTGGGCCTGCAATGATGCCTTCTGGTGGATTGAGAGTAAGCTCTATAAACAAAAATACAAGTGTTATTGTAGCAAAACATACACTATTTGTTAATTTATTTGGTGGTAAAGTTATGCGAGGTTTATTTTGCCGATAAGTGTTCCTGTAATCAGGTATTCAAGACACCATTGTGTCCAAAAACACACTGAGAACAGATTGACCATGCTTTTATTCAACTACTCTCTACAAAATCCAACTCTGACCAGCTTGTGTCAAGGGCTCAACATTAACGTGCCAGCTTTAAAAAATAATTGAAGACATGAATGGAACGACGTAGACCTTTTCTGAGAAAAGTTTTCTCTGAAAGACTGAAATCTAGCAGTGTGAAGCCGAAAACTACATTATCTTCCAGCAGTCCTGCACTACACATTTACTTAAACTACTGTTACTGCTACTGTATTGTCCGTCAATACATATTATGTTACTTCTAAGACTTGTTTAAAGGGAATTTGTAAACCTATCCTGGGTACGTCACTATCTGTTTTGTTGTTAAGCAAAAGAGTACAATATTTAATTGGCACAAATTCAGCAATCATATTTTTGGGGTGGAACCACTAGGATCGTTTACACTTACGTTTATATTCTGCCATAAGTCGTCTCAGAGCTGAGCCAGCCATTTTAGTTCAGTAAATGGTTTCACAGAAAATTAATTAGCAACTAATTTAAATAAAATAGGTACTTCTACGGTTTCACAGCTACACAGTCGCGTTTCGCGAAATGCGAATTTCCTTGCGAAAAGTGCTCTGTGATTCAACAGCGAGCGAGCCACACAGGAGCGAGCAACACACACGGCAAAAAAAATCTCTTCTTGAATGAAGTTCTTGTGATGTGTCATTAAATGTCAGTCAAAGGGACAGGACGGCAGCTTTAGTGCAGTGAAACGAAATAACTAAATCGACTAAATTAACCAACTAAAACCTTGTTTGCACTAGCCGAATAATTTAGTAGAGTAGGAAGGTACGTTCATTACCGTAATACCGAATTTGCACCTCAGCTGGTATGAAAAACTGAGCGCAACTGGAGAAGAAGCGCATAAGTATTGGAGACGTTAAAAATTAGCGTAATCGGGGCACTGATTGGATTCAAAAGAGACGCGCACGGACACGTTTAGCTGCTAAATTATTCACGAAAGCTTTTAGTTGAGTACAGTTTACAAATAATTAGTAGTTTTTATAATAAAATATGAACTTGACTAAACCACCCGGTTCGGACTCGTTTAGTCGGCAAACGAGTGAACGAATAGAGATGCTACTCGCCTGTCGAAATAAAATAGAATGGACTGTATCGACTAAAAGTCAAGCACCTAATCGATTAATTTATTCGAGTCTCTACTAAATTACTCAATTAGCGAATGCTAGCGACAAGATTATAATAATGACAATTTTACAAAAGTCCAATGGTTAAAATTACATTATATTATTTTTGATTAATGTGAAAATACATTAGTTAAAAAAATTGTGACCTTGCTAAGTTTTGGAAAAAGAATTATCTTTATGGTCATTGTTACGATAAAGTTGTATACTTGTTGATTCCCTTGCTTTTACGACTTTCTTTCTTTCCGCGCGTAGAGTAGAAAGAAAGCACAATGGCGGACTGTTCAAAATAAACAAAGAAACACAAGAAATTAAAATTTATTACGATATGAATATTGTTTATGTTTGAAATACAAAGTGCGTGGTAAATTAATTTTCTATTTTATAAATTATTTGGTGCGTTATTATGATGTAGACCGACAAACGTGATGATTTTCTTTCAGAATGGCTACAGATAGAATGGATGCAAATAATTCATCACAAATTAGTGTTTGTCAGACAAATCCTTTGCCTGCTGCAAACACATTGAATCCTGCACAGGTTACAAGCCTATTGTAATTCCCTTAATTGTAGATTTATAAACTTATAATTGAGTGATTAGAAAGTTACTTTAAACTAAACCCCAAATCCTTGAGTTTTGATTAACTAAATAAATCTTAGGTATTGTGATTTTTTGTTCTGAACGTAGACGTAGACAACAGCACCTAGTTTGATGCTGAATAGGTACTTACGTTTTAATAGCATAGAGCCTTATTATATTACAAAACAGTTTAACACTCGTTGAACAGTTTTACTTGCTTACATTGCATAGTTTACATAAATGACCATTAGGTGTGTAGTAGTGTGTTCCACGGGTGTTTAATTTTTTGTATTATGCCATAAAATTGTGTAAGTTCTACATGGGCAAGAATTATATTTACTTACTTACTTTGAGAAACTATTATCTGTCAGTATACATTTTGGGAGGAGGATTTCAACGCCCAGTTTATGTGCCGAGTGTGCAAGAAAACCTTTTACAATGCCGTCGCACTTCACAACCATATGAATATGCAGCATGATGGCAATGATACTAAAGTCGAGGAACCGGCCACCAGGCGGTATATTGATCAGGTACCTACTTACATTGGTTCTTGCTATAGTTTCTCTTGTGATTAAGTAGGTTTCAGCCGAAAGACGTCCACTGCTGGACAAAGGTCTCCCCCAAGGATTTCCACAAAGACCGGTCCAGCGCTGCCCGCATCCAGGCACTTACAACGACCTTCACCAGATCGTCGGTCCACCTAGTGGGAGGCCTGCCCACACCTACGTCTTCCTGCTCGTGGTCGCCACTCGAGAACTTATCTGCCCCTGCGCCCATCAGCTCTACGACATGATCGGTACAGCCAGCGTAAAATAATAGTTTATTTCACCCACAGTAACTAAAAAGTTGACAACAGAACTTTATTCGAATAGTATTAACGTATTGCGAACTTATTGGCTAAGATACTTTGGGAGTCACGAATTTGACACTATAACCAAACTAGAACCAAAAATATTTTCATTTTGATCTTGCAAAATAAGGGTCCTTTTTACCCGATTGCGTTGTTTAATGTAACTATTTTTATTTGTTTAATGTGGTCGTTTCAGGTCTGTTAATTGCTAAATTCTTTTACTTTTTACCAAAGGTGATATAACTACCAAATTATTTTTACAGAATTTTAACGATTTATGCGGTTTTAAATTTATACCAATAAAAAGCGAGGATGAAGCCAACTCTACTCCCGTGCACGGTGGGCTCACGTCGAGGGTGTTCGAAGAAGACACCACCTTCCTGATCGTCAAGGTGGAAGGGGCTGACGTGGACTCCGATAGCACTAAAAAGTCCACCGATAGTGCTCCTAAGAGGACGCACGCCAAGCCACCAGTTGACTTACGGTCAGGACTCTTTTGACAAGTATAATATTTGTTTTTTATCTTGCAGTATTAATTGAAAAAGTATTTTTTCTTTGGTGTTATTAATCCATGGAAGGAAAATCTCAAACCATTTGCTTTTTGCTTTGAAGGGATTTTTAATAGCAATTATTTGTATTGCATACAAAACTAATATCCTTTTTCATCTAGGGGCCCATTCACTTGCACATTTCCATCGTCGTTGCGTCCAGATCTCCAATGCCGTCAAATATTCTTCAACTGCTGCGACTACTCGCTTCATTACCGCGAAGAACACACCAAGAGAAGAAAAGCGGCTCTTCGTTGTCAAGTCTGCGAGAAACGCTTGGACACGGATGTTTACTCGAACAACGTTATAGCAGCACAAATCGCAGTCAGCCGATTCACTTTTTCGTGTCGCGTATGCGGACAAACGTTTCTCGATAGCTCGGAATTCGATGAGCACAATCGCCTCGTTCACGCCAAGACGAAACCGCACCAATGCTCTATTTGCGCGAAGCGGTTCACCCAACAAGGAGGCTTGCAACAGCACATGAGGATGCATACCGGGATCAGACCCTTCGCTTGCACGTTCTGTCCAAAAGCTTTCACCCAAAAGGCGGGCTTGGACCAACATCTACGAACACATACCAAAATAAAGCCCTTTAAATGTGTTATTTGCAACAAATGCTTCTCGCAGTCTGTGCATTTGAGGCAGCATATGCGGACTCACACGAACATCCAGCCTTTTGAGTGTTCCGTGTGTGGCAGGAGATTTAAGCAGAGCAGTCATTTGAACTTCCATATGCGCTCGCACGTAGGCCAAGCTGGTTCGTTCGTCATGGAACGGTACGCTCAAGCCGTCCAACACACAAACCGAATGGAGTTTCTCAATTTGGCTAACCTTCAACCAGTACAAGACGGGGAGACGATGTACTATGCAGCCGAGTTAGCGGAGATGCCGTCGCATCATAACCCTTTTGTATATCAACCTCAAATCATATTACCAGAAAATGTGCTTTCTCTATAGAGGAAATGCTTACTTGCTTTAGGTACTCATACAATGAAGTGTTCAAATTAAAATGCATGATGTCTACTGTAATAATATTATGGTGCATGATTTGATTGAAATACTAAGTAGGTATGTAGTTAAAAAAAGTATCCGATATGTTTTTATCCAATGGTGTGTTGAAATTTTGTAAAGTGAACAAAGATTCGCAACCAGAATGATTTCAGATCTAAATTTTTTTGATTATTTTTTTTACTTCATGATAGTTTGAAATACTAAAGTGCATAGTGCTAGTACTTATGTTTTAAGTTTTAAATATAGATTTTTAAGGCTCAATTTTGGTTTTATTTATTAGATTATTTTAATGTAGTGTTTGATTTTGGGAAACTTGTAAATTTAGATTAATCTGCAGTATTGTTTTGCATTCTACCTACCGTATATCTACCTGCTCTAATTTTAGATATTTTACCTTCCTGATTTTCATGACAGCTTTGTAAAATTCTACCATTATAACGTCGCGAAGTCTTAACCCGAATTTATGTTACATTGTATGAACGCCCGCTATATTAGATTTATAGATAGGTATTAAGTAAAAAGATTTTAAAAGCTGTTGCCAACTAATAAAATACCTATAATTATGTACTTACACAAAATATTTAAAGAAACCAATGTTAATTTGACTTGAAAACCAATTTAAAAAAAAAATTTAGATATTGAAACAATAAGTAGGTACCTAATGCATATGGCATGCACTTGCTGCCACTTGCACTTGCAGTTAATGCATGAAAGTGCATGCAGCTTCAAACCGGGTACCAGGAGCCCAAAATATTAGAGGAGTTACTGTTACATGTTCATGCTGCACTCTTCTCTCATATGCATCGATCGCTGCACTTCCGTCGTCCACAACACAGGTAACCTAGGTCGTAGAAAATGGATAATATAGGAGCGTTACATTTCAGCTGAAGCATTATTTATCTCTCTCACCCCTCAGAAATACAGTGGTGTTCTGATTTGATTTGAGGGAGAAAGACATAGGTACGTCTATCATGAAATTTGTAGCAACGATAAAAAAATTAAGATAAGAAAGATGCAAGGTGACGTGATGTGGCGTCACATAATTTACAAATCAATTTATGAGCAATTTATTTACTAGCCGATATTTTTCATAATTCTTGGGTAGGCTTATAATAACGTTACGTAACACGTAAGTAACGACAAAAGTTTATTGTTATTCTCAAATTTCCTAAGTTAACAAACATTGTGCATGTAAAACTGAAAATCTGAGTGATAAGTACCTATTGAACTCCAGAATCGATTTCATTTGTTCTAAGTAATGTATTTTTAGTTCTCCTTAATCAGTGTTTCTATAATTTTAAGACGTGCCATCATAATTCGTAATAGTTAATAAAAGATAAGCTTCCCAAATTAGTGATAATTGTATAATGTTTTTGTAATCAGAATGATGATTGACTATCAAATGATTTGGGACACGTTTGTGGTATTATGGTCACATTGGTGCCAAGATTTAGCCACGTTTGTGGTATTATGGTCACATAGGTGGTTAAATTGTGGATTGTGGTTGTAGCTATAGGTAGTTACACGTCTTTGTTGGTGTTGTCAAAACACTGCGAGACGGCGGCGCAGCGTGTGGCCGCATGTGGTTACATTTCGGTCGTTGTATATTTTGATAGTGCGGGCAGCCCGGGAAAACAAAAGGGAGTCATGATGGCTGCATCCTGGTACAGCTGACAGCACATCAGAATTTACATTTTCATTGCAAATCCGCGCTTATTACAATAGATTATGGTCCCACAGTGTTCAGCTTGATACACCTAGTTCTGACCTTAGTCGTAGTCGAGGACAAAAATTATGTTCCTACTTATTGTTATCGTTAAGGGTATCGTATTGTTATGACCAACAAGAAAAAAACTAGATCCGTAGAATTCAAGCTATTTTTAGAAACAAAAAATACTAGCAGTTCATTGGTCTTAAGAGTTTTATTGGCTTAAAAGTTTTATTGTATACAGATAGGTAAGTAATCAAGTTCGTAGTTAAATTAATAGGTAGGTACTTAGATTGTGCTCATTGGCGTATCTACAGTATCTAGGGTTATTTTTCAGGGGGGTGCGATTACTATTATCATAACTCGTGATTTAGTACTATCAACTATCATCTTCAAATCAGTAGTCCATGGCGTGCCACCGATGCCTCCCTGCTATACAGCGTTAATACGTGTGATATCTTTCGATTATTTTTATCGAAAAACTGGTTACTGATCCTGAAAGTGCTTCACGAGCTTTTTCAAACGGAACCAATAATAGGATATAATATAACATACTAACGACCTTGTTTTTATTATGTTGGAAATTAACTTAAAAGAAGTAAAAAAAGTCAAGTCTTTTTCTAATTAAATCCATTCTTACTCCCTTATAATGTATCAAACTTGTGTCTGTTTTCTACTTCTACTAATAGATAACTTTATTGGCTATCGCATGATATAAAATATTTGCTTATTAGTGTTAAGTTAACCACGCTTTCACTTGTTTTTGAAGGAAGAAGTGAAAACTAAAAATTAAAAACTAAAATCCTTGTAATTTTGCGAGAAATGAGTCAAGCCCCAAAGAAGTATTGTCATCGATTTAAAAATTGTCCATTGATTACGCCCTTAAAGTTTGATCACTACATGCCTGGACACACTGTATACCTATTTAGCCTAGAAACTAGAAATACAGTACAATGTAGGAGAGATATATTGCAAAAGCTGCATTTTGCATTACGAGCATTTAGCAAAATATGCGCTTCACATAATGCGCTCTTTTCTAGGATTTGGCTAAATGAGCTATGTAACAAAGGTTAGTCCAAAAATAAAGAAGATATTATATGGTTCTGTTTGAGATGGGTACTGGGGATTTTACGCATCCATTCATCGTATCCTACTTCAGAAGACGTTTCGAAGAAATAGCGAAAAGACAATGCCGGAAATTGGCGTCTTTTTGTTCTCGCGCGGCCATCGACCAAACCTTGTTTTTTGATTACAAAATAGTGTAATAAACCAAACTTACTATGACATGTATACCTCTAAACTCAGTCTGAACTGAGTTACGAGCATTAGAAGTTTGATGCTTTTCATACTAGATTTGCTTTTTGCGCGCAAGTTTTGTAAGAAATTGCAACAAAATAGTGACATTGTATGTGTGAACAAACAATATGATCCATTGAAGGCTCCTGACATCAGTATGCAGCAGAATCAGCGCAATAAANTTTTGTAAGAAATTGCAACAAAATAGTGACATTGTATGTGTGAACAAACAATATGATCCATTGAAGGCTCCTGACATCAGTATGCAGCAGAATCAGCGCAATAAAAAAATAGCGCAATATTTTGTTGCAATTTCTTACAAAACTTGCGCGCAAAAAGCAAATCTAGTATGAAAATCATCAAACTTCTGATGCTCGTAACTCAGTTCAGACTGAGTTTAGAGGTATACATGCCATAGAAAGTTTGGTTTATTACACTATTTTGTAATCAAAAAACAAAGTTTGGTCGATGGCCGCGCGAAAAAAAAAGACGCCACCTTCCATACAAAATCTGGCATTGCCATTTAATCTGTCAAGAACGCTTCATTGTTTGGAGGCTGGTTTTTTTTAAAGTAATGGTATATCAATGTCACCCCTCCCATACCTCAGGCACTGACTGAGTTAAGCGCTAGAACTATAGTCCCCGTATGTTTTGTAAAGTTTTCGTTTCATAAAGGTTCAACCAAATCAACGCGTGCAGCACGCGTGCGCGATGGCGATCAGTAGAAATCTATGCGCGTTTGGTCGAACCTTCAGTCGTAATAGGTATTTGCCTGGGAAGCGGGTTCTCTCACACCGTGTGCCTCGCACATCGATTACTCACGAGGTCTCTGTTTGCTCATTGCTGCGTTATCTTTGCCAGACGTGAAACTTTGGAATATTTTTTCGTCAGATTGTAAGTTTTTTAACCTCGACCGGGCGCACATATGGCCGGTCGGGTGTTTCAGGGCTGCCGACATGAGCATTTTTTAGGACAAAAATTTAAAGTCTTCGCATTTAAATTTCGAAAAACCGTTAGTAGCAAGTCCAGTGAGTCCAGTGACAAAAAGAAAGTAGGTAAGGTACCCATACTTACCTTACATACTTAGTTGAAGATTATAAAAATAGTATGACCCAAACGTTGACTGGCGGAGGATCCACTCTATGTACACTATACATATATTTTTAATAAAAATATTTTTCAGTGTCTGGTGCCAAAGTATGAAATTATAACTAAGTAGGTAATTCTAATTAAAATCTTTCGAAAAATTACATTTAATTCAATTATATTCGTACTACGGTCGTTTTCTTCAATACCTTAGATTAAAAACAAATAATAAAATATTAACTTGTCATTTTTATACTAAACATCTCAGGAGAACCAGCCCTGACCATGATTAAAATATTGTTTACATCCGCCTGGCAGGGTTAAACGGTACCTATGCTGGTTGAAAGGGTGGTAGCCATAAATGGTGTAAAAAAGCTTCGCCCATGGCCCATGGCATCCCTATGTGAAAACCGTAGGTAGTTAGGGAACGGACTATAAATACTTAATATCGATGGCTTTGTTGACAAATACTGTCCATTTCTGTTCAAAAAATGATTTAATATGGGTCCTATTACAGTCAAGTGATTTGGGTAATAAATAAGTTTTCAGAATTCCTTTTTTTTAGGAAATTTCAAATGAAACTATTAGTTCTCAGTCCAGCCGTCATTGAAATTATTTGCTTTTAACATGGAGATTTAAAATACTTACTTGCCTTATGTAAGTATATTTAATTCTATTAATTATTATTATTTATTCATTTGCATTTCATTTTCAGCACATACAGACATATATGCATTCATAGGTACATTAATTCTGTAAGGGTGTAGTAAAGTCACAATAATTAAAAGTGACGACTAGGCGCAGACCACCGATTTTTAGTTGGCCGATAGTTGTGCCCGATTTTAAATTTAAGAATCGCCATACATGCCCGCCCATACTGACCAACTGCCCTGGGCTAGGTTCACTAGGTAAAAGATCACTTAATTTATTTACTATAACAAGAGAGATGCTGAGTGGGATAG